GGATGATGACAGACTGATGGGTGCAAGGGCTGGATTTGGGGTTTTGACTTACTGAGGGGAAAACCCGGAACTCGCAGGTTCGGGTTTTCCCAGATGTGCCAGTTTATGTATTCTAGTAAATAGAACTTTGAAAAATGCTTGCTTCAGAGTTTTTAATTGGAGCTGGGGGTTTTCTGAAACGCTCACACTCTCCTTGTTTAGTTTCCATCCGTTGCTTCTTGTCCTGCCTTCAGGTGTTTTGGAGAATAGCTTGACTCCTTCTTCTTTGGGGCAGCCCCTCAAATACTGGAAGACTGTTACCATGTCCCCCCCTAGTCCTTCTTTTCATTAAACTAGACATACCCATGGACCTTGTAGGTCATCTAGTCCAAACCCCTACTCAAGTAGGAGACCCTATACCATTTCTGAGAAATGGCTGTCTAGTCATTTCTTGAAAGCTTCCAGTCATGAAGCTCCCACAACTTCCGGTGGCAAACGGTTGATTGTTTTCATTGTCAGGAAATTTCTCATTATTTCTAACTGGAATCTCTCCTTGTTCAGTTTCCATCCATTGTTCCTTGTCTGGCCTTCAGGTGCTTTGGAAAATAGCTTGACCACTTTCCTCCTCTCTGTAGCAGCCCCTCAAATATTGGAATACTGTTTTCATGTCCGTCAGTCCCCCAGTCCTCCTTTTTTCTATTTATTTATTTATTTATTTTATTTTATTTCTATACCGCCCTTCTCCTGCGGGACTCAGGGCGGTGTACAGCCGAGATACAACATAGCATCTAAAATTTAAAAACAGTTTAAAAAACAATTAAATAATTTTGGCCCAAAATTTAAAACAACCCAATTAAAACCGAATTCAATTAAAAACTGAGAGGATGGGATCAAGCCAGCCCGGCTAGATGGAATAAGTGTGTTCTCAGGGCCCGACAAAAAGTCCGGAGGTCTGATATCATGCGTATCTCAGGGGGTAGGTCATTCCAGAAGGCAGGTGCTGCCACAGAGCAGGCTCTGGGTCGCCAGCCGGCACTGTCTGGCCGACGGCACCCTGAAGAGGCCCTGTCTGTGCGAGCGAACCGGTCGGTGGGAGGCTATTGGCGACAGAAGGCAGTCTCACAGATACTCCGGCCCTAAGCCATGGAGCGCTTTAAAGGTGGTCACCAACACCTTGAAGTGCACCCAGAAGACCACCGGGAGCCAGTGCAGCTCGCGCAGGAAAGGTGTCATATGTGAGCGCCCCGTCGCTCCCATAATCCCTAGGCCAGGGGTCTGCCACCTTAAACACTCAAAGAGCCATTTGGACCCGTTTCCCACAGAAAAGAAAACACCGGGAGCCACAAAACCCTTCCCGTGCCTGACTATTTCTTGAGCGGCCACAAAACTAGCACATGTAGTTAAATTAAACGGTCTGTTTTCTTCCGAAACTTTTCTTTTCTTGGATTTATCCATGGTTGGCCTACCGGAGATTGAAAAGCTCAATAAATCGCGTGCCGGCGGGTGTCGCACATTGGCGGTTGTGACGCATATTTTGAGTGACGGAGCCGCAGCAGTCCCCTAATCATCCTTGTTCTTCTCTGCCCTCTTTCCAAAATTTCAACCTCTTTTATATATATATATAAAACACACTGATGATCAGGCACGACCACGGACCAGAAGCCAGACCACAGCTGCATCATTAGCCACTTTAAACCCCTCCAATCCATACATGAAGCAGGCTGACACCCAACATGAAGAGATGGCACGGCCACGAACACGAAGCCAAACAGCAGCAACACAGCTCACCAGCTCAAATCCCCCTGCTACTCAGACTAACCGGAGCACAACCAAGCCCCCATCTAAACAGAACACACACCCAGCCAATCAGAGCACAGCCAACCCCCCATCCAATCAGAGCACAGCCAAACCCCCAACCAATCAGAACACACCTCCACCCAATCAGAACACAGCCAAGTTCCCACCCAATCAGTTCACACCCCCACTGGCAGTTAAAAGGAAGAAACAGCTGCGATCTCACATTGCTCCTGGAAGCACGAAGCCGAGAACACCAGCCTGAAGATGACGAATGAGACTTTGTCGAAACGTTACCTATATACAAACACCTGCAAAAACCTCAGAAAACAAATATATATATATTGCGGTGACCAGAACTGGAGGCAGTATTCCAAATGATAGGGGAAAAGCCTCAGGATGCACCACCTATGGTAAAAGTTTCTGACCGTAATCCAGATGCCCTCTTGATCGATTCCGATTCCCGCCCTTCAGCAGCTCAGAAGGGCAAAGAGTCCTCTGGGAGGAGAATTGATAGTCTTCCCCATCTCAAATGGAGGCAAAACGGTCTCGGCAAGAAAGCTGCCTCTGCACAGATTCGCCCTTCGTGAAATTAAGGACAGGACAGGCAGCGTGTGACGGTGGGTCCCTTGAAATGAAATCACCATAGTTCAGGTAGTCCTTGACTTAACAGGTATGGTGGCTCTAGCGATTAGAAGGCCGTATTGCAGGCTAAACTCTGCCCACAGCCCGGAAGTTCGATCCTGACCGGCTTAAGGTTGACTCAGCCTTCCATCCCTTCCGAGGTGGGTAAAATGAGGACCCAGATTGTTGCGGGGCAAGAGGCTGACTCTGTAAACTGCTTAGAGAGGGCTGGAAAGCACTGTGGGGCGATATATAAGTCTATATCTCATGCTATTGTGAAGGAAGGAAGGAAGAAAATTATTCTGAGTGTTCCTTATGTATAAAATGGGGCCTTGGTGGCGCAGCAGACTAAAGCACTGTTAAGTAACACCAGCTGCCTGCAATTACTGCAAGTTCAAATCTTACCAGGCTCGAGGTTGACTCAGCCTTCCATCCTTCCGAGGTAGGTAAAATGAGGACCCGGATTGTGGGGGCAATAAGCTGACTTTGTATAAAAAAGAACACCACTTGGGGGGGCCGAAAACCCTACTAAGCAGGTATATACAAAAGTATGAAGGCTGTTGCTTAATGCATTGTAAGCCGCCCTGAGTCTCCGGAGAAGGGCGGCATATAAATTGAACCAATAAAGGAAGGAAGGAAGGAAGGAAGGAAGGAATCTGGTGGCCCAGTTGTTATAAGGCAGTATTACAGGTAACTCTGCTCATAGTCAGGAGTTCAATTCTGATCGGCTCAAGGTTGACTCAGCCTTCCATCCCTTCCGAGGTGGGTAAAATGAGGACCCAGATTGTTGGGAGGCAAGAGGCTGACTGTAAACTGCTTAGAGAGGGCTGTAAAAGCACTGTGAAGTGGTATATCAGTCTAAGTGCTATTGCGAAGGAAGGAAGGAAAGAAAGAAAATTATTCTGAGTGTTCCTTCTGTATAAAAGAGGAAGGAAGGAATCTGTGGTGGCACAGTTGTTATAAGGCAGTGTTGCAGGTAACTCTGCTCGAAGTCAGGAGTTCGATTCTGATCGGCTCAAAGTTGACTCAGCCTTCCATCCTTCCAAGACGGGTAAAATGAGGACCCAGATTGTTGGGGGCAATAGGCTGACTCTGTAAACCGCTTAGAGAGGGCTGTAAAAGGTCCTATGCAGTGGTATGTAAGTCTAAGTGCTATTGCTATTGGGAGCAGAATTTCTGTTGCGGTTGTTGAGTGAATTGCATCCGATTTTAGAACCTTTTTTGCCATGGTTAAGCGAACTGCTGTGGTTGTTAAGTGAATCACACGGTCCTTAAGCAAATCCGGCTTCCCACGTTGACTTGGCTTGCTGGAAGCTGGCCGGGAAGGTCGCAAATGGGGATCGTGGGACTCTGTCACCGTCGTAAACACATGCCAAAATTTTGATTACATGACTGCGTTCGTTGCAAGTGTGAGGACCAGTTGTATGTCACTTTTTTCAGTGCGGTTGCAACTTCAAACATCGGTCGCTAAATGAATGACTGTAATTTCCTGGCAGTGAGAACAATGAATCAGTGGAACTACTTGCCTCCAGAAGTTGTGAATGCTCCAACACTCGAAGTTTTTAAAAAGAGATTGAGTAACCATTTGTCTGAAGTGGTGTAGGGTTTCCTACCTGGGCAGGGGGTTGGACTAGAAGACCTCCAAGGTCCCTTCCAACCAGGGTGGATAAAAATCAATGATTTTTAAAAAAAAAAAAAATCAGATTTTTTTTATTTAAATCGGATTTTTTTGATTTAAATCGGATTTTTTTTTATTTTTATCAAATTTATTTTAATAAAAAAACTTTTGGGGTAAAAATCTATCGTAAGATAGTTTTCTATTTAAGATACATAAATAATTTAGTTTCTTCAGCATTAAAAACGGAGCTTAGTTATGTAGCAGGAGGCTGTATATTCTGCAACACTGGGACTATCGGTGAGTCAACAGCGGGTCAAAGGAGGAGCAGAGATGACAGTTGCTCTTTAAAAATTATGATTTAAATCAAGCCTTTTTACTAGTGATTTAAATTGTGATTTAAATCAACTCGATTTAAATCAAATCCATCCTGCTTCCAACTCTATTATTCTATTCTATTCTATTCTATTCTATTCTATTCTATTCTATTCTAAATCCCGCTATTCCTTTGTTCTTATAAAGCTCATACGTGTTTTAAGTGGGTTAAGGATTTCCTGCCTCAGATCAGATGGATATACTTCAACTCCCCAGCCAGCATGGGGTATTCTGGGAGTTGAAGTCCACCCATCTGCAAATGGCTGACATTAGGAAACACCGATGTAATAAATAGAAACCTCTCCAGCTTGATCTTCTCTGAATGCTTCGGGACGGCATCTCCCACCTGCTGGGAAGTGACAGTCACAAGACACCAGATGAGATTCCATCTCTGCCACAGATCACTCAATATCACTGGCCGGTCACTGCGCGAAGCCAAAGGAGTGGGCAATGCCCTCTTTTAAAATCCCAGGCTAAGTTTTTATGTCTCTGCCTTTGGAAACCTTGCCCTAACCGTGTATGAATGCTTTCTTAGCCGCAAGCGGGCTTTGATTGTAAAGGCAATTTCTAAACTCAAGTTTGTGGTGTTTTTCCTTTTTTTTTTCTCTTACAGAAGCTTTCTTCGGTCACCCATTCCTGGATCAGGTTTCGACGGTCAAAAAATGTAAGCCGAAATGCCCTTCTCGACTGACCCTTTGAGCTTTCCGTAAGGCGTGGATGAAACACCGAGATCTTTCCTTTAGTAGGCCTTTGGGTTGGGCAAATGTGGCCCTTTTACAACCTGTGGACTTCAACTCCCAGAATTCCTGAGTTTAGTTTAGTTTAGTTTAGTTTTAGTTTTAGTTTTATTTGATTTGTATACCGCCCTACTCCCGAAGGACTCAGGGCGGTGAACAGCCAAAGGATAAAAAACATAAATACAAAATTTAAAACTGAAATAAAATCGAATTAAACAATTTGGCCGAAGACAGATTTAAAACACCCCAATAAATTAAAAACGAACTAAAATTTACATTTTAAAAAGGGGAAAAAGGGAAACAGTTAGGCCAGGCCAGCCTGATGGAATAAAAATGTATTTATGTATTTGTATTTATGTTTTTTATCCTTTGGCTGTTCACCGCCCTGAGTCCTTCGGGAGTAGGGCGGTATACAAATCAAATAAAACTAAAACTAAAACTAAAACTAAACTAAACTAAACTAAACTAAACTAAACTAAACTAAACTCAGGAATTCTGGGAGTTGAAGTCCACAGGTTCTAAAAGGGCCACATTTGCCGACCCCTGAGATGGGAGGCTAAAATCAGGCCTGTTGACGGATTTGTCTGTTTTCACCTTGATTGATTTCAAACACAGGTAGCCCTCGACTTAACGACGAGAAATTCGTTGCGTTTTGCCCCATTTTACGGCTTTCCTTGCCACGTTGGTTAAGCGAAGCACTGCCGTCGTAAAATTAGTAACTTGGTTGTTAAGTGAATCTGGTTTCCCCCATGGAGTTTGGTTGTCAGAAGGTCGCAAATGGGATCACAGGACCCCGGGACACTGCGACTGTCATAAATATGACTCAGTTGTCAAGCATCCAAATCATGTCACCATGGGGACACTGCAATGGTCATAAGTGTGAAAAATGGTCATAAATCACTTTTTTTCCAGTGCCATTGTAATTTCAAACTCTCATTAAGCGAACTGTTGTAAGTTGAGGACTACCTTGTTAGAATGTTTTTAGACCTGATGTGTGTTCTTTAATCATCAAGACTACTGCTTTGGGTTAATAGCAGGGGTGAAATGCTCCCAGTTCGGACCGATCCGGTAGCAATGGAGGCGGGTGGTTCGGAGAACCGGTAGCAAAAATCCCTGCCCCCCCCCCCCCCACACACACACACACATGCCCAGCTGAGCCACACAATCATCAGAGGCTTTTTTTTTTAACTTTTAAAAGCATTTTTTCTACAACCTCTTCGGCCAAAAAAATGCTTTTAAAAGTAAAAAAAATAGCCTCTGATGATCGCGCGGCTCAGCTGGGATCTTCAGAGGCTTTTAAAAGAAAAAAAACCCTTTTTTTCTTTTAAATGCTTCTGACGATCCAAGCTGAGTTGCCCGATTGTCAGAGGCATTTAAAAGAAAAAAGCCTCGGACGATCAGGCAACTTAGCTGGGATCATCAGAGCCTTTTGAAAGCATTTTTTTTACAACCTCTTCACTGAAGAGGTTGTAGAAAAAATGGTTTAAAAAATTTTTTTTAATGGCCACGCCCACCCAGTCACATTAACCCCCCCCCACCAAGCCACGCCCACAGAACCAGTAGTAACAAATTTTGGATTTCACCCCTGGTTAATAGTTCGGTTGCTTATTTTTTACAGGGGTAATCCTCAACTTACGACCAAAATTGAGCCCCAGATTTCTGTTACTGAGTGGGACAGTTGTTAAGTGAGTTTTGCTCCATTTTACGACTTTCTGACCACCGTTGTTAAGTGAATCACTGCAGTTGTTAGGTTATTGGCACGGCGGTTCAGTGAATCTGGCGCTCCCCTCCCCCCCCCAATTGACTTTGCTTGTCAGAGGGTCGCAAAAGTTGATCACATGACCCCAGGACAACCGTCATCAATACGAGTCACTGGCCAAGCGTCTTGAGTTTTTGATCATGCGACCATGGGGATGTTGCAACGGTCGTTAAGTGTGAAAAAACCTTCCTAGGTCACTTTTTTCAGGGCTGTTGTCACTTCGGACGGTCACTAAATGAACTGTCGTAAGTCGAGGACTACCTGTATTTGAGTGGCCAGAGCGTGTGGCAGGGCTGCTGCTGGGTGGATGTGTGAGTGGCTGGCAGGTCATGAACCCAGAGGGCCTGGGGGAAAGTGCACAGGTAGGGAAGGCCTCCCCAAACAACCGTCTTTCCTACCGTCTTCCCCAGTGACCCTGCTTGTGGGGAGGCAGCAGGGAATGTCACAAACAGTGAATCACGTCAGCGATAGACTCTGCAACCATCATGAGTGCCAGCCGATTCCCACCTGCCCTGATCGTGATGACATGACCACAGGGCCCACTGGGATGGCTGGAACTACAAGGTTGTAAGTCCCCCTCATCCATGTTCTGTCGTAACTTTGAACCGTCACTGAACGAGCAGTTGTTAACCAAGGACTACCTTGTCTTGATATCTGCTTCAGTATTTATACACTCTAGACCAGGGGTCTCCAAACTTGGCAACATTTAAGACTTGGGGACTTCAGCTCCCAGAATTCCCCATCCAGCATTTGGCAACTTTAAGACTACTGGACGTCAACTCCCAGAATTCTTCATCCAGCACTTGGCAACTTTAAGACCTGTGGACTTCAACTCCCAGAATTCCCTAGCCAGCACTTGGCAACTTTAAAACTTGGGGACTTCAACTTCCAGAATTCCCCAGCCAGCACTTGGCAATTTTTAAGACCTGTGGACTTAAGCTCCCAGAATTCCCCAGCCAACCAAATTTAATCACTTTAAAACTTGGGGACTTCAACTCCCAGAATTCCCCAGCCATCCAAATTTAATCACTTTAAAACTTAGCGACTTCAACTCCCAGAATTCCCCAGCCATCCAAATTTAATCACTTTAAAACTTGGGGACTTCAATTCCCAGAGTTCCCCAACCATCCACATTTAATCACTTTAAAACTTAGCGACTTCAACTCCCAGAATTCCCCAGCCATCCAAATTTAATCACTTTAAAACTTGTGGACTTCAACTCCCAGAGTTCCCCAGCCAGCACTTGGCAATTTTTAAGACCTGTGGACTTCAGCTCCCAGAATTCTCCAGCCGTCCAAATTTAATCACTTTAAAACTTGTGGACTTCAACTCCCAGAGTTCCCCAGCCAGCACTTGGCAATTTTTAAGACCTGTGGACTTCAGCTCCCAGAATTCTCCAGCCGTCCAAATTTAATCACTTTAAAACTTGTGGACTTCAACTCCCAGAGTTCCCCAGCCAGCACTTGGCAATTTTTAAGACCTGTGGACTTCAGCTCCCAGAATTCTCCAGCCGTCCAAATTTAATCACTTTAAAACTTGGGGACTTCAACTCCCAGAATTCCCCAACCATCCACATTTAATCACTTTAAAACTTAGCGACTTCAACTCCCAGAATTCCCCAGCCATCCAAATTTAATCACTTTAAAACTTGGGGACTTCAATTCCCAGAGTTCCCCAACCATCCACATTTAATCACTTTAAAACTTAGCGACTTCAACTCCCAGAATTCCCCAGCCATCCAAATTTAATCACTTTAAAACTTGTGGACTTCAACTCCCAGAGTTCCCCAGCCAGCACTTGGCAATTTTTAAGACCTGTGGACTTCAGCTCCCAGAATTCTCCAGCCGTCCAAATTTAATCACTTTAAAACTTGTGGACTTCAACTCCCAGAGTTCCCCAGCCAGCACTTGGCAATTTTTAAGACCTGTGGACTTCAGCTCCCAGAATTCTCCAGCCGTCCAAATTTAATCACTTTAAAACTTGTGGACTTCAACTCCCAGAGTTCCCCAGCCAGCACTTGGCAATTTTTAAGACCTGTGGACTTCAGCTCCCAGAATTCTCCAGCCGTCCAAATTTAATCACTTTAAAACTTGTGGACTTCAACTCCCAGAGTTCCCCAGCCAGCACTTGGCAATTTTTAAGACCTGTGGACTTCAGCTCCCAGAATTCCCCAGCCGTCCAAATTTAATCACTTTAAAACTTGGGGACTTCAACTCCCAGAATTCCCCAGCCAGCACTTGGCAACTTTTAAGCTGAATGGACTGACCAGGGTATTCTGGGAGTTGAAGTCCACAAGTTTTAAAGTGGTTTTAAATTTGGAGACCCCTCATCTAGACTGCAGCTCCCTGGAGGCATGCACCTGTCCGGATACTCTGCAAGAGTGAAGCTTCTCCTTTTTGAAATTGTTCATTCTTTGCAGCCCACCTGTCTGTGGTTTCATTTCTGCCTGTTTTTGTTTTTCTTCTCCTCCATTCAGCTTGTCCTGTACCTGTTCCGGCACCTGCTGGGTCAGTCTCTGGCGGATCCTGTGGTAGCTCTCCCTCCTGCCGGTTTGCTTCTCCCCCAGTAAGTCCTGCTCCGATTTGGAAAGAAAATTGGTTCTCTGTATTTCTGAATTGGGGAGGGGGAGGAGGAGGGGGGATCTCTCTTTATTAAGCTTCCATTTTTTAATTCTCATAACACTGTCATAGGCCTAAGAAATTCAGCCATGTGATGGACTGTATTACTATTATCCCCTCATTTCTCCTCTTTCCTGCTATCTTCTCCTATTGGTGTCTTACGACTTACCACTTTGTTGTTTGTATCTTATGATGAATGGCTGTAACTATGATTTATGATCTATGACATCACTTTGTTGTTGTGTGTGTGTACACTGAGAGTTTATGCACCAGAGGCAAATCCCTTGTGTGTCCAATCACACTTGGCTGATAAAGAATATCTGTTCTGTTCTATTCTATTCCTATTCCATTCTGTTTTGTTCCTGTTATGTTCTGTTCTGTTCTACTCTACTCTACTCTACTCCTCTACTCTACCCCTCCTCACCCCACCCCACTCTACCGTACTCTACTCTACTCTACTTTAATTCTGTTCTAGTCTACTCTACCCTACCCTACCGTATGCTATTCTAGTCTAATTCTGTTCTGTTCTGCTCTACTCTACTCTACTCCTCTACCCCTCCTCACCCCACCCCACCCCACCCCACTCTACCGTACTCTACTTAAATTCTGTTCTGGTCTACTCTACCCTACCCTACCGTACGCTATTCTAGTCTAATTCTGTTCTGCTCTGCTCTGCTTTCCTCTGCTCTACTCCTCTCCTCTACCCCTCCTCACCCCACCCCACTCTACCATACTCTACTCTACTTTAATTCTGTTCTGGTCTACTCTACCCAACCCTACTGTACGCTATTCTAGTCTAATTCTGTTCTGCTCTACTCTACTCTACTTTACCGTGCCTTACCCTACCCCATCTGTTCCTTCTTGTCCTTCCCTCTGGTGCTTTGGAGAATAGGTCGACCTCTTCTTCTTTGTGGCCACCCCTCAAATATTGGAAGACTCCTGTCATATCACCTCTACTCCTTCTCTTTGTTAGACTTGGACAAGTTCCCGCAACCGTTTTTCGTATCTTTTAGGCTCCAGATCCCTAATCATCTTTGTTGCTCTTCTACATTTGGCATCTTTTCTGGAGGGGCACTCATATTGTGGAATCTTCTCTCTCCAGAGCTCAGGTTGGCCTCATCGCTTTCTGAGCCTCTGAAGGCCCCTTTCAGATAGCAAAAGCAATCACGCTTCGATTATATACTGCTTCACAGTGCTTCATAGCACTCTCCAAATGGTTTACAGAGTCAGCCGATGGCCCCCAACAATCTGGGTCCTCATTTTACGCACCTCAGAAGGATGGAAGGATGAGTCAACCTTGAGCTGGACAGGATTGAACTTCAGGGCTGTGGGCAGAGTTAGCCTGAAATACTGGATTATAACAACTGTGCCAGCATTCCTTCCTTCCTTCCTTCCTTCCTTCCTTCCTTCCTTCCTTCCTTCCTTCCTTCCTTCCTTCCTTCCTTCGCAATAGCACTTAGATTTACATACTGCTCCATAGGGCCTTTTACAGTGTTTACAGAGTCAGCCTCCTGCCCCCAACAATCTGGGTCCTCGTTTTACCCACCCTGGAAGGATAGAAGGCTGAGTCAACCTTGAGCTGGTCAGGATCGAACTGCTGGCAATCAGCAGAAGTAGCCTGCAGTGCTGCATTCTTACCACTGCGCCACCACGGCTCTTAAGATTTGGTTAGACCAGTAGGCCTCAGACCCTCGGGGACAGGTGAACTAGTATCTTTGTTCTTATTCTTAGTAGCATCCCTTTGTCTGCTGTTTTCATTGTTCTCGCTTTGTTTTTATGGTTTTAATGTGTCTTTTTAATCCTTAATCCTGATAATGGATTTTAGGTATTTATTAATTCCTTTAGGTTTGTTGTATACCGCCCGGGGTCGCTTCTTTGATGAAATGGGCGGCCACATCAATGGGAGTAAATATATAAATAAAATATTGCGTGAACTGGACCGAAGAACTTCTTTACTTGTGAACTTTAAGGGCAAGGGTGACAGCTCAGTGAACAGGACGTGTTTTCCTTGTGGGATATCTCACATCAAAACAAGCCATGCAGGAGGCCCTGAATCGTAGCCGGAAACGGCATTGGCACCTAAGTTTGTCCAAGCGTATCATTGGCCAAAAGTAAAAATGCTTTGGTTTAGTGACTTTTTTTCTCCGGGCTTTCAAAGTCCTCTCTTCTTTTTTTTTTTTTTTAATTATTTATTTATTTATTTATTTATTTATTTATTTATTTATTTATTTATTTATTTATTATTAAATGTATAGACAGCCCTTCTCCCGAAGGACTCAGGGCGGTGTACAGCCAAAGTAAAAAACATGAATTCAAATATTAAAAACCAAAGACTTTCAAAGACCAAAGTTTAAAAAACAATAGCAAAACATATTAAAAACATTTAAAAAGCATTAAGCCAGCCCGGCTTGCTGAAAAAGGAAGGTCTTCAGGGCACGGCGGAAGGCACCGAGGTCTTGAATTCTTCGTATTTCTGGGGGCAGTTGATTCCAGAGAGCAGGTGCCCCCACAGAGAAGGCCCTCCCCCTGGGGGGCACCAGTCTACATTGCTTAGCCGATGGCACCCTGAGGAGGCCCTCTCTGTGGCAGCGCACCGGTCGGTGGGAGGTCATTGGTGGCAGCAGACGGTCTCGAAGGTATCCAGGTCCTATGCCATGGAGCGCTTTAAAGGTGATGACCAACATCTTGAAGCACACCCGAAAGACCACGTGGAGCCAGTGCAGCTCACGCAGGAGGGGTGTTATGCAGGAGCGTCACTACCCATGCGGCTGCATTCTGGACCAGCTGAAGTCTCCGGGTGCTCTTCAAGGGGAGCCCCACGTAGAGAGCGTTGCTGTAGTCCAGGCGAGAGCATGAGTGACTGTGCACAAGGAATCCCGATCTAGGAAGGGCCGCAACTGGTGGATCAGGCGAACCTGATAAAAAGTCCCCCTGGCCACAGCCGTCAGATGTTCCTCCAAGCACAGCTGCATATCCAGGAGGATGCCCAAATTGTGCGCCCTCTCCATGGGAACCAATGACTCGCCTCCAATAGTCAGTGATGGAGTCAGCTGACTATATCAGGATGCCGGGAGCCACAGCCACTCAGTCTTGGATGGGTTGAGCCTGAGCCTGTTCCTCCCCATCCAGATCCGCACGGCCTCCAGGCACTGGGACATCACTTCAAGGGCATCGTTGGGGTGGCCTTGAAGTTCCCTCCAATACAGTTTCTAGTTCCAGTCAGTAAATTGAAAATATAAGGTGGTTATCGGAGATATATCCTCCTGCAACTGTTCTTCATGTGTTTTAGTCTCCAAGCCCTTTAATCATCTTAGTTGCTCTTCTCTGCACTTTTTCCAAAGTCTCAACATGCTGGCTAGGGAATTCTGGGCGTTGAAGTTCACAGGTCTTCCAAGTTGCCAATACTTCTGCTATCGAGAGAGAATAGGTAGAATTTCCCCACCTGCCTTTGCAAACCTGTTGCCTCAGATTCTTCCATCTTCTCTCCAGTCCCTTCCAGATATGCAGCACATCCAAGAAGACAACCTGTCCTCTCCACCCTTGGGACCTCCGAATTACCTTCAGGTGTCCAAAGATTCTGCCAGCACCAGTAGCAAGAATTCCTCCTGCGACACCGATGACTTCGTCCTGGTTCCACACAACATCTCTTCCGACCAGTCGTGTAAGATTCCCGCTTTATGAATAACCAGCTGTTCCCCACGATTCTCAGTTTTCTCTTTGCTGACGCTTTAACTGACTTCCACTGAGGAGTGTGGCAGGGTTAGGTTGTGTGTTTTGTAGCAGGTTTGATTCGTATTGCAGGATCCAATCTGGGTCGGTCACCGGGACCGGAGGTTTTGTTTTCCGAGCTTTCGGACTTCTGGAGCCCATCTTCAAATGAAGTTCTCTCTAGCAGTGTGTGTGCTTTGCGCTGTTCTGTCTGTGGTATTTACATGGTGCCTGCTGTGTGTGGCTTTTTAGATGCTGATTGGGGTGTTGATGGCTGGTTAGTAACCTAGTAAGTAACCTAACTACTACCTAGTTAGTAACCTTATTTTGTTTCCTCCAAAATAAGCCCCAGGATGATTTTTCCAGGATGCTCGTAAAATAAGCCCTACCCCCAAAATAAGCCCCAGTTAAGATCAGCTAGATGGGTGCATTTCAGGGGTGAAATGCTCCCAGTTCAGACCGGATTGCCTGATCCAGTAGCGATGGAGGTGGGTGGTTCGGAGAACCGGTAGTAAAAATCCCTCTTCCCCCCCCCCACACACACACACATGCCCAGCTGAGCCACACAATCATCAGAGGCTTTTTTTTTTACTTTTAAAAGCATTTTTTCTACAACCTCTTCGGCCAAAAAATGCTTTTAAAAGTAAAAAAAAAAAGCCTCTGATGATCGTGCGGCTCAGCTGGGATCGTCAGAGCCTTTTAAAAGAAAAAACCCCTTTTTTTTTTTCTTTTAAATGCCTCCGATGATCCAAGCTGAGTTGCCTGATCAGCAGAGGCTTTTTAAAAAACCTCTGCCGATCAGGCAACTCAGCTGGGATGGTCAGAGCCTTTTGAAAGTATTTTTTTGCAACCTCTTCGCCGAAGAGGTTGTAGAAAAAATGCTTTTAAAAGTTTTTTAAAAATTGGCCACGCCCACCCAGTCACATTACCACCACCAAGCCACGCCCCCAGAACCGGTAGTAACAAATTTTAGATTTCACCACTGGTGCATTTAGTACCGTATTTCCTCGAAAATAAGACCTAACTAGAAAATAAGCCCTAGCATGGTTTTTCTAGGATGTGCATAAGATAAGCCCTACCCCAAAAATAAGCCCCAGTTAAGATTGTCAGCCAGATGGATGCATTTAGTATCTATATTTCCCCGAAAATAAGACCTAATTGGAAAATAAGCCCAAAATGTCTTTTGGAGCAAAAATTAATATAAGACCTGGTCTGATTTTTGGGGAAACATGGTAAGTCGTTGGCTGTTGTTTCCTTGTGCTGCCAAACCCTCGTCTCCAAAGTATCTGATAAGCTGCACTCCTGTTTGACTGCAAGAGGCCCGAGGTGGCGCAGTAGTTAGAGTGCAGTACTGCAGCTACTTCAGCTGACTGCTAGTTCAGCAGATGAGCGGATCAAATCTCACCAGCTCAAGGTTGATTTAGCCTTCCATCCTTCCAAGGTGGGTAAAATGAGGACCCAGATTGTTGGGGGCAATATGCTATTTAGTATACTGTCTTTGGTGTAAGCCGCCCAGAGTCCTCGGAGAGTGGGCGGCATAGAAATATGACTAATAATAATAATAAGTTTCCCAGACTTCAATCATTCCCCTGTTGTCAGGGTTCCAAGTAACACCCCCAACGAAAGAAGACTCCGAGGCTAGGCATTCCTCAAAGTTCCATTTTATTAGAGATGTCATATTGGCACAGCTGGGAAAACCCAAATCTGAAAGCTTCCAGGTTTTCCCCACCCAAAAGAAAGTTCAAGTCCCTACCCAGCACCCACATGTCCATCACATGGTCCAATCAATGCACCATCCAAAACTGAAGATACCTCCCAGTCCCCTCATGGCAGCTGCAGGGTGTCAAGTTTCGTGGTTGTCTCGAATAAAATGCATTTCAAACAAAATCTTTGAAGAAAAAAAACCCTTTTTATTGAGCACGACATCCTAACCTGAGTCCAAACGAAGCCAACACCGGCATCCAGCCCCAAGACCCTCCCTTTCTGTTCCCCACTCCCCTGCACTCATTGGCCATCTTCAAAGTCATTCTACCCCTAATCTACTCCAGCTCAAAGGAATTCCCCCCCTCCCATCTCATCTCCTCGGAAATATTATCTCCAGGGAAAATAAGTAGGTGAAAAGTCATCCGTCCCTTTCCAGACGCCTTCGCTTCTCCTTCTTATGTCAGCGCTAGAGTAAATGCAGGTTGAAGTGCTGACACAGGGCACTGTGACCTTGACTCTCTGAGAAAAGAATGTTATTTTGACTACATATCACCCATGCTCTATACAATCCCCCCCTCCCAGTTTCCCACAGTAGAAAAAAAAACTGTAAAAGATGGCTTCCAGGCCTGACACCAGTAAAGGGTTTGAGAAGTTTTAATACCCAAGCTTTTATCTTTTTTTCTTTTCTTTTCTTTTTTTTTTTTCATTTATCAGGGCACCTGTGTTTGCACAGTTATCTCCCATTCAACGGAATGAAAAACATGTTTTGTTTCTCTCTATCGGAGAGAAGTGCCAGTTCAGAGGAATACATTCCTCTTTGAGTTCCTCGCCTTCTTAACCCTTTCCTTTTCTGAACTCTCGGTAGAGAAGGAGACCTTCAAAGAATCAACATTTTTATAAAAACCAGAGCAGGAGGTGTGTATAGAATTGCAGTTGGGAAGAATGTTTAGGATCAAATTGCTTTATTGCGGACAGTGGAAAAAAGAAAATACCTTCATTTGTTCGACAGCAGGGGTGTCCAACTCGTTTTCATTGAGGGCCGCATCAGGGTTGGGTTTTACCTTGGAGGGCGTGGTCAGCTCGATGTCAGTCATCTCGGGGGCACCTGTAGTGGCCAAGAGCTAATGCAGGATTTCCCTGAGACCCTCACTCACTCTCATTATAATCTTCCTTCCTTTTCTTCTTTTTCCTTCCCTCTTCATTCTTCATTCTTTTTCCTTCCCCTCTTTCCTTCTTTTTCCTTCCTGGTTCTCTTTTCATCTTCCCTTTTTTTTTTTTTTTTTCTTTCCTCTTTCCCTTTCTCCTTTCCTGTCCCTTGCATGCTCAAAATTTATTTATTTATTTATTTATTTTTATATGCCGCCCTTCTCCGGAGAAGGGCGGCTTACAATGCGTTAAGCAATAGCCTTCATACTTTTGTATATTTTATACAAAGTCATCTTATTGCCCCCACAATCCGGGACCTCATTTTACCCACCTTAGAAAGGATGGAAGGCTGAGTCGACCTTGAGCCTGGTGAGAATTGAACTCGCAGTAATTGCAGGCAGCTGGATGTTAATTGCTGCCTTAGTAGGAGGCATTAGCCTCCTACGCCACTCAGGCTCCTATGCAAAAGGGGAAACATTTCTCCTTTTTTTAGTTTGATGTATGTATGTATGTATGTATGTATGTATGTATGTATGTATGTATGTATTTATTTATTTATTTATTTATTTATTTATTTATTTATTTATTTATTTATTGGTTCGATTTATATGCCGTCCTTCTCTGGAGACTCAGGGCGGCTTACAATGCGTTAAGCAATAGCCTTCATACTTTTGTATATACCTGCTTAGTAGGGCTTTCGGCCCCCCCCAAGCGGTGTTCTTTTTTATACAAAGTCAGCTTATTGCCCCCACAATCCGGGTCCTCATTTTACCTACCTCGGAAGGATGGAAGGCTGAGTCAACCTTGAGCCTGGTGAGATTTGAACTTGTAGTAATTGCAGGCAGCTGGTGCTACTTAGCAGCACTTTAGTCTGCTGCGCCACCAAGGCTCTTATTGCCAGGAAAAACGGAGCCTGGGGGGGCTGACACCCCCACACCCCCGAGCTCTATTTTAGCTGGCAGAGGCACCGCGGGCCAGTCCTTTGCTGTTTCCAGGGCGGCTCTGCGGGCCAGATCTAAGCACCCCCATGAGCCGGATCCGGCCTGCGGGCCTTGAGTTTGACACCCCTATTCTACAGGTAGTTCTCACTTAATGACCGTAATTAAGAGGGTCAACTCATCACTGAGCAGCAGGGTTGTTAAAGGAATTCTCACGTGACCAGCCCACTTAGCAAAGGCAATCCCAGTTGATATGGTGGGTGATCTCTGAGCTTGGTTGTTTTCTTGCCAGACGTTTCATGACCCAACTAAGTAACATCATCAGTGCTAGAAGGCAGTGGGGTTTGCTCTCTGTTCATTTATCGTAGCTTGCTTGCCCTGACAGTGTTAAGCGGGAGTTTTTCTTGGTAGTTCCTCGATTAGGCTGGGATGGATGGATGGATGGATGGATGGATGCATATCCTTGGTGCTCTCTCAGTTTAGTGGTTTCCTTGCAGACATTTTCTGGCTCAGTTAGGTAACGTCATCAGTGTTAGAAGGTGGTGGGGTTTGTGGAGTGGAGGAGGAAGAGAAAGAGAAGGACTATGGAGTCCTTCGTGCTCTCTAAGTTGGGTTGTTTCTTTTTGTCAGATGTTTCATGACCCAGTTAGGTAACATCATCAGTGCTAGAAGGAAAGGGGGGTTATGGAGCGGAGGAGGAGGAGGAGAAGGAGAAGGGGGAGAGAAAAGGAGGGGGAGGAAGACTATGGAGTCCTTGGTGTTTTCTGAGTCGGATTGTTTTTTTGTCTTTTGTTTTATCAGATGTTTCATGGCCCAGTTAGGTAACATCATCAGTGCTAGAAGGAAAGGGGGTTATGGAGCGGAGGAGGAGGAGGAGAAGGAGAAGGGGGAGAGAAAAGGAGGGGGAGGAAGACTATGGAGTCCTTGGTGTTTTCTGAGTCGGATTGTTTTTTTGTCTTTTGTTTTATCAGATGTTTCATGGCCCAGTTAGGTAACATCATCAGTGCTGGAAGGAAGGGGGTGTTATGGAGTGGAGGAGGGGGCGGGAAGAAGAGGAGGAAAGGAAGGAGAGTGAGACTGTGGGGTCCTTGATGCTGTCTGAGCTGGGTAGTTTTCTTGCAGACGTTTTTGTGACCCAACTAGGTAACATCCTCAGTGTTAGAGGTGACTTTGGTTTGCTTTCTATTTATATACTAATGCAGGGGTCTCCAACCTTGGCAACTTTAAGCCTGGTGGACTTCAACTCCCAGAATTCCCCAGCCAGCAAAGAATTTTGGGAGATGAAATCCGCCAGGCTTAAAGTTGCCAAGGATGGAGATCCCATGCCCTATTCCTTGAGTGGGGTATCGCAAGTGGACAAGCCACTTGTTTACAGTAAATGGCCAAAATTATGGAAACCTTTTGGGAAAAGTGTATTTTTGAGGTTTGATGGCTAATAACACCACTTTTTTTTGTTTTTTGGAGTTTCAAGAGAATCCTATTCCACTGCTGGAATGGCCTGGGAATAGCCCAGACCTTCATCCAATTGAAAATCTATGGAGCCAACTAAAGGAACTTGTTAGTCAGAAGCGACCCAGCCATAAAACCCAGTTAATAGAAGCCATCCTTCAATCTTGATTTCACATGAGAACAGCTGCAGAACTAAAAGACTTAGTCCACTTCATGGGAAGACGTTGTAAGGCCGTCATTTTTTTTTTTAATTTGCTTTATATGCCGCCCTTCTCCGGAGACTCAGGGCGGCTTACAATGCGTTAAGCAATAGCCTTCATCCTTTTGTATATTTATACAAAGTCAGCTTATTGCCCCCACAAACTGGGTCCTCATTTCACCTACCTTAGAAAGGATGGAAGGCTGAGTCAACCTTGAGCCTTTTATGCTAAAAGGTTACCCAACTAAGGATTAACTGACATGGGGATCATTTTTGTATATCTCGTTTTTTCTACGTGTTTCACTTTTCTACTTTATACTGTAACTGCTATTCTCATAGCAAATCCTTCCTAAAAGTTATTGCATTACATTCTTGATTAAATTATCTTTCCACTGATACATAATTTTATGGTACTACTCCAAAAAAGTGGTGTTACTTGCTAGTTTTAGAAAATACACTTTCCCCAAAAGGTTTCCACAATTTTGGCTGTTGTTTGATCCGTCTCTTTTTCCCTGCAGACGATCTCCCCCTGGCAACCGTGGGCCGGAGAGCCTCGAGCGAGTTCCTGATGTGCGGAGGGTAAGTACAAGCCGGTTTCACTCCCTGGCTGTAACACCAGTGCTGGAGGGGGGTCATGGCAGGGTCCTTTTTTTGGGGGTGGGGGTGGCATTTTTTCCATGACTGCCCCCACAGAGATAACCGAAGCCTCAAATAAGCCTTCTGAATTGCTTCCCTTCTATTCCGTCAAGGGTGGGATTGAAAAATTTTAGCAACTGGTTCTCTGCCCAGTTGCTGGGTGAGTGTGGCCATGGTGGCATGGCCTAGTCATCTTCCTGCACCACGGTGGTGGCGGGGGGCATTTTCTTCCTCCCCAGCTCCGGAGGCTTTCCTTGAGCCTCCAGGAGGGCCAAAAGGGGCTCCCCCGGGCTCCGGAGGCCGGAAACGGGCCCATTTTCACACACACACACCCAGACCTTGGGACACAGAGCAACGGGTCATAAAAGTATAAACCAGCTGCTGAGCATCCGAATTTCGATGACATGGATCACGGGGAATGCTGCGAAGGTCGCAACTGTGCAAAAACCAGAGTGTTTAGTATATTTTAATTGGTTTTTGTTTAATTAACATTTGTATTACATGTATTTTTTATCGTTCGCTGTTCACCGCCCTGAGTCCCTCAGGAATAGGGCGGTATATAAATTTAATTAAATAAATAAATAAATAATAAATAAATAAATAAATAAATAAATAAATAAATAAATAAATAAATAAATAAAAATTGGTCCTAAAGGGCCTTGGTAGTACAGTGGCCTAAAGCACCCTGTTATTAAGACCAGCTGCCTGCAATTACTGCAGGTTCGAATCTCACCAGGCTCAAGGTTGACTCAGGCTTCCATCCTTTCTAAGGTGGGTAAATTGAGGACCCAGATTGTGGGGGCAATAAGATGACTTTGTATAAAATATACAAAAAAGGATGAAGACTATTGCTTAACGCATTGTAAACCGCCCTGAGTCTCCGGAGAAGGGCGGCATATAAATCAAATTAAAAAAAAAAAAAGTTGCATTTTTTTTTCCAGCGCCACTGTAACTTTTAAACGGTTACTAAATGAGTGTCGTCTGTTTTATTTAAATAAAAACAAGTTTTATTTCGTTGGGGGTGTTTTTGGGTAACCCCGACAACGAGATGTTGTAAGTCGAGGACTACCCGTGTTAACCTTGTCTTCTGAAAATCTCAGCGTACGCCCTACACACACACACACACACACACACACACACACACACAATCCCAGAATTCTCTCCTCTAATGGAAGTCACTAGGCTGGAAGTGACTTCCCTGCTTCTTACACTCACAAGTGTGTGTGCGATCTGGAAGGCGTTCGAAGCCAATGAGCTGAACTGAGATTTTTTTGGGAAGGGAGGGAGACAGAAACAGGCCAAATTCTTAGCCCGTCCATCTTCCAGAGGCTGCCACCTTCGCTTGGCATTTGCAGCCCCTAGGCGCCGAAAGCAAGCAGGTGTGTGCCCTCCCTCTGCCCAGGTGCTTCTCCCCCCCCACCCCCGCTTTGTTTTGACTATCCAGGGATAAGTTGCATCATGTGTTTTTCCGTCTCTCTCCCCCCCCCCTCCTTTTCCCCAAGTCTCCTGACTTTATGAGCCTTGAATAAACAAACTCGGCCGTCCTAACTTCTGAACTTCCTGTTCTCTCTTCCCTGGTGGGTTTTCCTAGAAAGGGAGATTTTGTTTTGAAAAGCTTTTAAGGGGGGGGGGAGTGGAGAAGCGGGACTCGGCGCCTGCCCGTCCTGTCTCAAAACCACCAGAAAGAAGAGAAGGAGACAATCTCTCTCTCTCTCTCTTTTTTTTTAATGTTTATATTGTGACCTCTTTTTTTTATTATTATTCTTGGCACAAAAAATATGGGACATGCTGTTTAGAGAAATTAGAGCACTATTGAATGTAAATTGGGATACGCTGGCAAGAATTGCATTATTTATTTATTTATTTATTTATTTATTTATTTATTTATTTATTTATTTATTTATTGGTTCGATTTATATGCCGCCCTTCTCCGGAGACTCAGGGCGGCTTACAATGCGTTAAGCAATAGCCTTCATACTTTTTGTATATACCTGCTTAGTAGGGCTTTCGGGGGCCCCTAAGCGGTGTTCTTTTTTTTTTTTTTAATTTATAAACTTTATTAAAACAGATATAAAATACATATGACAAAAACATAAAAATATATTATAAATAATCAATCATTTGAAGCGTTTGTTTCGTAACGGTCTTTCAAGTAATACAGTTATACTTATTCCCTTAAATCTTAACTTAATAGTTTCTTATTGCCTTTTTTCCCTCTCCTCTCTTCTGCTCTCTAAGCGGTGTTCTTTTTTAAACAAAGTCAGCTTATTGCCCCCACAATCCGGGTCCTCATTTTACCTACCTCGGAAGGATGGAAGGCTGAGTCAACCTTGAGCCTGGTGAGATTCGAACTCGCAGTAATTGCAGGCAGCTGGTGCTAGTTAACAGCACTTTAGTCTGCTGCGCCACCAAGGCTCTTTTATTGTTGCTGGTGGAACACAACGGGATATAAATGAAACAACAACCAAAAAAAGAAATGATCGTACATTTGATAATGGCAGCTAGATTAGTGATGGCTAAATACTGGGAACGAAATTGGGATATTCAAAGAAATAGGAGCCTGAGTGGCATAGGAGGCTAATGCCTCCTACTAAGGCAACATTTAACATCCAGCTGCCTGCAATTACTGCGAGTTCAATTCTCACCAGGCTCAAGGTTGACTCAGCCTTCCATCCTTTCTAAGGTGGGTAAAATGAGGACCCAGTTTGTGGGGGCAATAAGATGACTTTGTATAAATATACAAAAGTATGAAGGCTATTGCTTAACGCATTGTAAGCCGCCCTGAGTCTCTGGAGAAGGGCGGCATATAAAAATAAATAAATAAAAAAAAAATTATTATTATTGCATGACCAAATTTTCCAGCCAGCCCTCAATTGTAAGCATTCCCTCTTCTTGTGAATGAGCAGCAGGCACCTCTCTGGTCTCTTTCGTGCTGGCGTCTGAGCCGTTGGGTCTCCTTCCCCCACCCCCACCCCCGGCACGGAGAAGAGGATTTCGTGGCGCTCCTCACGGTCCAGAGGTTGGCCTGCCTCTCTTCATTGCAGCTCTCCTTGTCCCCCATCTACAGGCAGTGCCAGCCTTCCGTCTCTCCCCGGAGCGAAACGGTGCCCATCCCAGTCCCTACTCAGCTACGGAACTACCAGCTTATAGAGCAGAACCTGACATCGGCCACCAGTCCCGGTTCAAACCCCCACGGGTCACCGAGGTAAGACCTCCCTACTCCCGCGATCTCCTCTCCGCTCATCACCCTCGTACAGGCAGTCCTTGATTTACAACCCACCCTTGAACCCCAAATTGCCGTTGCCAAGCAGGTGTTCAGTTGTTTGGTGAGTTTGGCCTCATTTTATGCCTTCGCTGCAGGTTCTTGCTCCCCTCCTGGACTTCGTTGTTAAGTGAATCACTGCAGCGCTTAAGTGACTCGCACGGTTGCTAAGTGGATCTGGCTTCCCTGTTGACTTTGCTCGTCGGAAGGTCGCAAAAGGGGATCACATGACACACACACACACACACACACACACACACACACACACACACACACGGACCATCATAAATACATGCCAGTTGCTAAGCATCCAAATTTTGGTCACGTGACCATGGGGATACTGCAACGGCCGTAAGTGTGAAAAATGGTCATGAGTCGTTATTTTCAGCGCCCTTGTAGCTTCGAACGGTCACTATAAACTAAACTGTTGTAACTTGAGGATTACCTGCGTTTGACTGGCTTCCCCAGCAAAGATCAGATAACAGCTAATCCTCGATTTAACGACCACAACTGAGCCCAAAATTCATGTTGTTAAGCCAGACGTTTGTTAAGTGAGTTTTGCCCCCTTTTACAATATTTAAAAATAATAATAATAATAATTTTATTTCTATACCGCCCTTCTCCCGAAGGACTCGGGGCGGTGTACAGCCAATTTAAAAACACAAGACACAACAATGATTAAAAATTAAAATAATTAAATAGATTTGGCCGGTTTAAAACCCCAAAAATTTAAAATACCCCAATTTAAAATCATTATGTTGATAGCCCGGCCTGGCGGAACAACAGTTGTTAAGTGAATCCCTACAGTTATTAAATTAGTAAAACGGTCGTTAAGTGAATAGGGCTTCCCCGTTGGCTTCGCTTGTCAAAAGGTCGTAAAAGGGAATCACGTGACCCCGCGTCATAACTGTGAGTCAGTTGCCAAGCATCTGAATTTTGATCACGTGACCATAGGGAGGCTGCTGCAAAGGTCGTAAGTGTTGAAAAACGGTCGTAAGTCGCTTTTCTCAGTGCCGTCGTAACTTTGAACAGTCGCTAAACGAACTGTTTTAAATGGAAGACTACCTGTACAGTCTATAACTGCTTGTTTAGCGACAGTTCAGAATTACAATGTGATTTCCAACCAGTCCTCGCACTTGCAACCATTGAGCATCTACATAGTCATGTGATCAGAATTCGAGAACTTGGCAACCAGCCTGTATTTACGACAACGGCAGCATCCTGGGGTCAGGTGATCCCCCTACGCAACCTTCCCAGCAGTCGGAGTCAGTGGGGCAAGCTGGAGTTACTTAGCAACCGTACGATTCACTTAACGACTGCAGGGGTTTGCTTAACACCCCAGGGGAGGGAAAAAAAAAAAGATGAAATTGGGTGTGAGTCACTTAGCAAACAACTTGCGTAGCAACAGAAATTCTAATTCCAAATGTGGCCTTAAGGAGAGGACTGGCTGTACTGCCTCACCAGTGGTAGACACAGAAGTTGTGTTTGTTTTGTTTTTTTAATTTCTAAGTAGAATTTTCCTAGAATGGAATGGATGGCCTTTATCAGAACTTTGCCTTGTTGCACTGAACTGTGATTATAGGAGGAGATAGACAGAGTGAGAGCGAGAGAGAGAGAGAGAGAGAAATGGAGATAAATACATAGATACATAAATAAAGATAGGTATAGACAGATAGGTATAAAGATGGATGGATGGAGAGAGAGAGAGAGAGAGAGAGAGAGAGAGAGAGAGAGAGAGAGAGAGAGAGAGAGATGATAGAGAGAGAGAGAGATAGGTATAGACAGATAGGTATAAAGGTAGATGGATGGATGGATGGATGGATGGATGGATAGATAGATAGATAGATAGATAGATAGATAGATAGATAGATAGATAAAGATAAGTATAGGTATAGATATAGGTATAGGTATAGGTATAAAGGTGGATGGATGGATAGATAGATGATAGATAGATATTTATTTATTTATTTATTTATTTATTTATTATTCGAATTTCTTTACCGCCCTTCTCCTTTCGGACTCAGGGCGGTGAACAGCCAAAATAAAAACATTTATACATAAATACGATTAAAAATAGATTTAAAATAATTAAATTTGGCCCATAGTTTAAAATTTATCAATTTAAAATCCATATCAAAATTTAAAACCAACCATAAAATCATAAAATCAAGAGAGACCGGCTAACTGAAAGAGATGAGTTTTTAGGGCCCGACGAAAGGTCCGGAGGTCGGAGATCACTCGTATCTCTGGGGGTAGATTGTTCCAAAGGGTCTATCTATCCAAAGATAGATAGATAGATAGATAGATAGATAGATAGATAGATAGATAGATAGATAGATAAAGATAAGTATAGGTATAGATATAGATATAGATATAGATATAGATATAGATATAGATATAGATATAGATATAATGGTGGAAGGATGGATAGGCAGACAGACAGACAGACGTGTTTCCCCGAACATAATACCCTTTCTTATATTTTTTTTGAACCCCGAAATAAGCCTTATTTTCAGGGAGGTCTTATTATTTTGGGGCACATAGAGCAAGATGGGGCTCCTCTTGCCGTCTTACCTGATATCCAGCTCTACATTTAAATATTTTCGGGGAGGGCTTATTTTAGCATATGCGCTCAAAAGCCCGATTGGGCTTATTATCAGGGGATGTCTTATTTTCGGGGAAACAGGATAGAGAGAGAGATAGAGAGATAGAAAGAGATAAGAGATAGAAGGTAGATATAAGATATATCCATCCTTATATGGATGGATAGATGGATGATAGATAGATAGATAGATGATAGATAGATAGATAGATAGATAGATAGATAGATAGATAGATAGATAGATAGATAGATAGATAGATATTGGCCCAAAGTCACCCAGCTGGCTTTCATGGCTAAGGCAGGACTAAAACTCACCATCTCCTGGTGATTGGTCCATAGTCATCCAATCAGCTTTCATGGCAAAGGCAGAATTAGAATTCACCTTCTCCTAGCAATTGGTGCACAGTAACCCAGCTGGCTTTATATGCATAAGGCGGGATTAGAACTCATGGTCGCCTGGTGATTGGTCCAAAGTTACACAGCGGGCTTTCATCGTAGCTAAGACAGGACTTGAACTCAAGCTCACCTGCTTCCTAGCCTTGTGCCTTAACCATTAGACCAAACTCTGTGTGTGTGTATATGTACAGTAGTGGCCCAAATTGTGGAAACCTTTTAGGAAAAGTGTATTTTCTAAAACTAGCTAATAACACCACTTTTCTTTTCTTTTTCTTTTTTTTTTGCAGTAGTACCATAAAATTATACATCAATGGAAAGATAATTAAATCCAGAACATAGTGCAATAACTTTTAAGAAGGATTTGCTCTTAGAATAGCAGTTACAGTATGAAGAAGAAAAGTGAAACACGTAGAAAAAACGAGATACACAAAAATGATCCCCATGTCAGTTAATCCTTCGTTGGGTAACCTTTAGCACGAATGACGGCCTTACAACATCTTCCCATGGAGGGAACCCAGTCTTTTAGTTCTGCAGCTGTTATCATGTGAAACCAAGATTGAAGGATGGCTTCTATTAACTGGGTTTTATGGCTGGGTCGCTTCTGACTAACCAGTTTCCTTAGTCGGCTCCCTAGATTTTCAATTGGGTGAAGGAGGTCTGGGCTATTCCCAGGCCATTCCAGCAGTGGAATAGGATTATCTTGAAACTCCAAGAAAAAAAGTGGTGTTATTAGCCATCAAACCTCAAAAATACACTTTCCCCAAGAGGTTTCCACAGTTTTGAAGGAAATGGTCCTAAAATCAAACATTAAACATTTCAATATTACCCTCCTGTCGGGATGTTGCCAAATGGGCAGTCATTTCAATAAATAAAAATTTTCACTATGTTATCTGCTGGGTGTCTTCGCTAGTTGTTCTAGCTCAGGGGTGGGCAACTATGGCCTTTTTTATGACTTGTGGACTTCAACTCCCAGAATTCCTGAGCCAGTCATGTTAGCTCAGGAATTCTGGGAATTGAAGTCCACAAGTCATAAAAGGGCCATAGTTGCCCACCTCTGTTCTAGGTTTCTTTTTTATCAGACTTTGTTTCTCTTCTCTTCTTTCAGATCTGGGGCGGTGCGGCGGTCAAACACCAGCCCTTTGGGCTTCCTGAAGACCGGCTCCAGCTCCCCAGTGCCGGCTGACACTGTCCAGACTGTGGGGCGCAGACTGTCCACGGGCTCTTCGAGGCCGTACTCCCCTTCGCCACTAGGTGAGACCCAACACAGCACAAGCCCAGAATCCATCATTTAAAACCCCAGGCGACCTCTTTGGCCTCTACAGGTAGTCCTTACGGCCACAATGGATCCCAAAATGTCCGTTTGCTAAGTGAGTTTTGTCCCATTTGTATAACCTTTCTTGACACGGTTGTTAAAGCGAATCGCCGCAGTGGTTAAGTGAGTCACACGGTTGTTAAGCGAATCTGGCTTCCCCATTGGCTCTGCTTGTCAGAAGGTCGCAAAAGGGGTGGGCTTCAAAAATTTTAACAAAGCGTTCTCTGCCTGGTTGCTGGGTGGCCGTGGCCTAGTCAGCCTCCTGCACCACAGCGGAAGGTGGGGCATTTTTGCCCTCCCCGGACTCCAAAGGCTTTCCTCGAGCCTCCGGGAGGGCAAAAACAGCCTCCCCAGGCTCCGGAGGCCCTCTAGAACTTCCAAAACTTCCGATTTTTCACCCTCCCCGAGCCTCCGTGCGCGCCCTGCACTTAACCTGCATCCAAAACGGGCCAGGGACCAGGGGTGAAATGCTCCTGGTTCAGACCGGACTGCCCAATCCGGTAGCGATGGTGGGTGGTTTGGAGAACCGGTAGCACACACACACCCCTCCCGTGCCCAGCAGAGACTTCTTCTTCTTCTTCTTCTTCTTTTTTTTAACTTTTAAAAGCATTTTTTCTTCAGCTGAAAAAATGCTTTTAAAAGTAAAAAAAAAAAAAAAAAAAAAAGCCTCTAATGATCGTGCAGCTCAGCTGGGATTGTCAGAGGCTTTTAAAAGCATTTTTTTCTGCAACCTCTTCAGCCGAAGAGGTTATAGGGGAAAAAAATGCCTTTAAAAGCCTCTGACGATCCCAGCTGAGTTGCCTGATCATCAGAGGCTTTTCAAAGCATTTTTTTTCCTATAAGCTCTTAAGGTTGTAGAAAAAATGCTTTTAAAAGTAAAAATAATTAAAAAAAAGTTGACCACGCCTACCCAGTCCCATTAAACCCTCCCCACCAAGCCACGCCCACAAAATAAGCCACACCCACAGAACTGGTAGTAAAAAAAAATTAGAACCCACCCCTGCTACAGACCCCTCCCCATCCTGGACACAAACTGTTTCAACTCCTACCCTCAAAACGACGCTATAGAGCACTGCACACCAGAACAACTAGACACAAGGACAGATTTTCCCCCGAACGCCATCACTCTGCTAAACAACTAATTCCCTCAACACTGTCAAACTATTCACTAAGGCTGCATTACTATTAATCTTCTCATCGTTCCCACCACCCGTCTCCTCCCACTTATGACTGCATGACTGTAACTTTGTTGCTGGTATCCTTACGATTTATACTGATATTGATTGTTTCCTAGTATGATTTGATTGCTTATTTGTACCCTATGAGCAGTGGTGAAATCCAAATATTTTGACTACTGGTTCTGTGGGCGTGGCTTGGAGGGCGTGGTGGGCGTTCAGGAGAAGGATACTGCTCATGCTCTCATTATCTCTCGGCTGGATTACTGCAATGCCTCTACATGGGGCTGCCCTTGGGGTGCACCTGGAGGCTCCAACTGATCCAGAATGCGGCCACGCGAGTAGTTACGGGTGCGTCCCACTACTCCCATATAACACCACTATTGCGCGAGCTGCACTGGTTGCCGGTGGTCCTCCGGATCCGCTTCAAGGTGCTGGTACTCACCTATAAAGCCCTTCATGGCATGGGCCTAGGGTATTTGCAGGATCCCCTCCTACCGGCCTCCCACCACCCAGTGCGCTCACATAGGGCTGCCCTCCTCCGGGTCCCCTCGGCCAGACAGTGTCGGCTGGCGGCCCTCAGGATGAGGACGTTCTCTGTGGTCGCACTGACCCTCTGGAATGGGTTGCCCACCGGGCTCTGGATGGCCCCCGACCTCTGCCCCTTCCACGCCGACCTAAAGACATGGCTCTTTCAGCAACTTCCCTGATGTGCCGTGAATTTTAACTTTGGGGATTTGGGGATTTTAAATTGGTTTTTAATATTATTTAATCTTTATCTATTGTTGGGTTGTTTTATTGTTGTGAGCCGCCCCGAGTCCTACGGGAGAAGGGTGGCATATAAATCTGACTGACAAACAAACAAACAAACAAACAAATAAATAAAATCCCCATTCCCTCCCCACTCCTGGGGGAAGGATATTGCAAAATCCCCATTCCCACCCCACTCTGGGACCAGCCAGAGGTGGTATTTGCCAGTTCTCCGAACTGCTCAGAATTTCCGCTACCGGTTCTCCAGAACCTGCTGGATTTCACCTCTGCCTTTGAGTATCATTAAGTGTTGTACCTTATGATTCTTGACGAATGTATCTTGTCTTTTTATGTACACTGAGAGCTTATGCACCAAGGACAAATTCCTTCTGTGTCCAATCACACTCAGCCAATAAAAGAATTCTATCTTAACAATCTAATCTATCTATATCTGTCTGTCTGTCTGTCTGTCTGTGTCATAAAATGGGACAAAACTCACTTAACAAATGTCACACTTAACATCAGAAATGTTGGGCTCAATTGTGGTTGTAAGTCAAGGACTACCTGTGGTTGCATTCGTGTGTGGGGGGGGAACCCCTCAGCAATTTCACTATTTCTTTTCCCCACCAGTTGGTACCATACCTGAGCAACTTGGGCATTGCTGTTGCGGGCAGCTGCAAGGGCACGAAATAAGGGGCCGAAGCTCTTCAGGTGAGCACTTTCTCTTCATTGTCCCGTTCCCCCCCCCCCCCATCTGAGTTTTAAGGGACAGCTTTTTGGCTGTGAAGGTACGAAACATCAAAGAGTCCCTCTGCCCAGAGTTTTGAAGCCTTCCCACCCAAGCACGTTCAGAAGGCTGGTGGAGATAATTCGACTGCTTAAGAGACAGAGGGCGAGGAATTGTTAGATGAGAGGCCAGTTCGGTTCTGGATCTTCAAACGTCTGGGTGCTCCGTTTTGTAAAAGGGGGGAGGGATAGAGAACGTCTCCAAGGCTTTCAGCATCCAAGTCATGGTACATCCACCAGTGTTATGTGAGAAAGAGAGGGAGAGAGATGATAGGAGATACAGAGGAAAGAGAGAGAAAGATGAGAAATGATGGGTGGGTGGATGGATGGATAGAGGGGTGGATGGATGGGAAAAGATGATGGATAGATAGATGAGAGAAAAGGAAGGATGGATGGACAGATGAGAAGTGGATGGATGGATGACAAGATGATGGGTGGGCAGATGGATAAATAGACGGGTGGATGGATGGAGAGGGGTGGGTGGGTGAGAAAAGATGGTGGATAGATAGATGAGAGAAAAGGAAGGATGGATGGATGAGAGAAGGTGGGTGGGTGGATGGATGGATGGATGACAGAAGATGATGGATGGGCAAATGGATGGATGGAGAGGGGTGGGTTGGAAAAGATGATAGATAGATGGATGAGAGAAAAGGAAGGATGGATGGACGGACAGATGACAAGAAGATGGATGGATGACAAGATGATGGGTGGGCAGATGGATAAATAGACGGGTGGGTGGATGGATGGAGAGGGGTGGGTGGATGGGAAAAGATGATGAATAGATAGATGAGAGAAAAGGAAGGATGGATGGATGAGAGAAGGTGGGTGGGTGGATGGATGGATGGATGACAGAAGATGATGGATGGGCAAATGGATGGACGGAGGAGAGGGGTAGGTGGGAAAAGATGATGGATAGATGAGAGAAAAGGAAGAACGGATGGATGGATGGATGACAGAAGATGGGTGGGTGGATGGATGGATGGAGAGGTGGGTGGGAAAAGATGGATGGATAGATGAGAGAAAAGGAAGGATGGATGGATAGATGGACATGAGAAGATGATGGATGGATGGATGAGAGAAGATGGATGGATGCATGGATGACAAGATAGATTGACAGATGGATAGATAGACAGGTTGGTGGATGATGGATGATGAATGGACAGAGAGAGAGATAATGGATAGACGGACAGAGACAGACAGAGATGATAGATTGATAGATGAGGGAGACCTATCTACCTATAGCTAGGTGGAGACTGAATGACTGACAGATTGTTGCTAGGTAACTAAAACCCTACTAAAACAAGGCTTCTCTAGGCATCCAATCTCCGTCTCTGTACGACTGAAGTGCCTAGAGGCATTTGAGAGAGAGAGAGAGAGATCAGTAAATGTTGGAGTGGGGGTGATGGAGATTTCTTTCCTTGCCTGAACTTGTCTTTCTGGGCCGCACATGTGCTCGGATGCTTTCTGTGAGCATGGCCCGCTTAGAAGGACTTTGCAAGGACAAGCCGCTGCCATCACCCCAGTTGACTTGTGCCGTAACATCCTGTTGATGGGAAAGACTGCGAGGGCTTTGTTGTCCTCCCTTTGTAGCTCATGAAAGGATTTCTTTGAGCCACTTGGGTGACCTGGGATGACCAGAGCATCCTTCCTCCCTTGGTCCTCCTCCCCCCTCGCATCAGTGGCGGTTAGTTTTTCTCATCACATTCATTATGCCTTTCTTGAGCGGGTGGCTTAAAAAAGAATGGGATTGGTACGACCAGCGGATAGGAATGACTCTCTTGTCCATGATCCCCAGCCAGTATGGTAATTAAAAGATAATTAAGGAACTGGAGGCTAAAACGTATGAAGAACGGTTGCAGGAACTGGGCATGTCTAGTTTGATGAAGAGAAGGACCAGGGGAGACATGATAGCAGTTTTCCAGTATCTCAGGGGTTGCCCCAAAGAAGAGGCAGTCAAGCTATGCTCCATAGCATCTGAAGGCAGGACAAGAAGCAACGGGTGGAAACTCATCAAGGAGAGAAGCAACTTAGAACGAAGGCAAAATTTCCTGACAGTTAGAACAATTCATCAGTGGAACTACTTGCCTCCAGAAGTTGTGAATGCTCCAACACTGGAAGTTTTTAAGAAGAGGTTGGACAACCTTTTGTCTGAAGTGGTATAGGGTTTCCTGCCTAAACAGGGGGTTGGTCTAGAAGACCTCCAAGGTCCCTTCTAACTCTGTTATTCTATTCTATTCTATTCTATTCTATTCTATTCTATTCTATTCTATTCTTTCTATTCTATTCTTTCTATTCTCTATTCTATTCTATTCTTTCTATTCTCTATTCTATTCTATTCTTATTCATAATTCTATTCTATTCTAGATATTTCTATTCTGTTCTATTCTTATTTCTATTCTATTATTGATATTTCTATACTATTCTATTCTTATTGATATTTTTATTCTATTCTATCAAACTTGTTGAAATTATTCTTGCATGCAGAGAAGAGCAACAAAGAGGATTAGGGGACTGGAGGCAAAAACATACGAAGAACGGTTGCAGGAACTGGTATGTCTAGTTTAATGAAAATAAGGACCAGGGAGACATGATAGCAGTCTTCCAATATCTCGGGCTGCCCCAAAGAAGAGGGAGTCAAGTTATTCTTCAAAGCACCTGAGGGCAGGACAAGAAGCAATGGGTGGAAACTAATCAAGGAGAGAAGCAACTTAGAACTAAGGAGGAATTCCCAGACAGTGAGGACAATTAATCAGTGGAACAGCTTGCCTCCAAAAGTTGTGAATGCTCCATCACTGGAGGTTTTTAAGAAGAGATTGGACAGCCATTTGTCTGGAATGATATAGGGCAGTGATGGTTAATCTTTCCGGCGCCGAGTACCAAAACTGGAGTATGTGTGTGCCAGAACCCGGAAGAGAGCAGCTGACCGGTGCACATGCGCGCCAGACCAGCTATCCACCGTGCATGTACACCACGGAACCCAGAAGAACAGCTGGCGATGGCAAGGGTGTCCACAGAGAGGGCTCTGCATGCAACCTCTGGCACCTGTGCCATAGGTTCGCCATCATGGATATAGGGCAGTGATGGCTAACCTTTTTACTGTTGTGTGCCAAAAGTGGGGGGAAGTGGGGGGTCATGCAAGTGCGTGCCTACATCCATAATGCAATGCCCCCCGCATGACACACACACACACACACACACACACACACACACACACCGGCAATGGCCCGTTTTGGGCCTTCAAGGTGGGTGGACTTCAGCTCCCAGAATTCCGCAGCCAGCATGCTTTCAGATGGGTGTATTCCGACTCCCAGAATTCTCACTGACCAGGATCTGATCCGACTAGATCAGAGGTTCCCAACTCTGCGAACTTGAAGATACATGGACCAACTCCCAGAGCATCCCTCAGCCAGCATGCTTCAAGATGGGTGTACATCAGTTGTCAGGCTGACTGGGGGATTCTGGGAGTTGAAGTCCACCCCTCTTAAAGAATGCTGGCTGGGGAATTCTGGGAGCTGAAGTCCGCACTTCAGTGCGATAGCTGGGGAATTCTGGAAGTGAAAGACGACCCATGTTAAAGCATTCTGGGAGTTGAAGTTCACTCTTTTTAAAGCATGGTGGCTGGGGAATTCTGGGAGTTTATTTATTGGTTCGATTTATATGCCGCCCTTTTCCAGAGACTCAGGGCAGCTTACAATGCGTTAAGCAATAGCCTTCATACTTTTGCATATACCTGCTTAGTAGGGCTTCCCCCCCCCCCCAAAGCAGTGTTCTTTTTTATACAAAGTTAGCTTATTGCCCCCACAAACGGGGTCCTCATTTTACCTACCTTCGAAAGGATGGAAGGCTGAGTCAACCTTGAGCTTGGTCAGATTTGAACTTGCAATAATTGCAGGCAGCTGGTGCTATCTTAACAGTGCTTTAGTCTGCTGCGCAGACTAAAGGGGAGGGGAGTTGAAGTCCACCCCTCTTAAAGAATGCTGGATGGGGGATTCTGGGAGTGGAAGTCCACCCCTCTTAAAGAATGCTGACTGGGGGATTCTGGGAGTGGAAGTCCACCCCTCTTAAAGCATGCTGACTGGGGGATTCTGGGAGTGGAAGTCCACCCCTCTTAAAGCATGCTGACTGGGGGATTCTGGGAGTGGAAGTCCACCCCTCTTAAAGAATGCTGACTGGGGGATTCTGGGAGTGGAAGTCCCTCCCTCTTAAAGAATGCTGACTGGGGGATTCTGGGAGTGGAAGTCCACCCCTCTTAAAGAATGCTGACTGGGGGATTCTGGGAGTGGAAGTCCACCCCTCTTAAAGCATGCTGACTGGGGGATTCTGGGAGTGGAAGTCCACCCCTCTTAAAGAATGCTGACTGGGGGATTCTGGGAGTGGAAGTCCACCCCTCTTAAAGAATGCTGACTGGGGGATTCTGGGAGTGGAAGTCCACCCCTCTTAAAGAATGCTGACTGGGGGATTCTGGGAGTGGAAGTCCACCCCTCTTAAAGAATGCTGACTGGGGGATTCTGGGAGTGGAAGTCCACCCCTCTTAAAGAATGCTGACTGGGGGATTCTGGGAGTGGAAGCCCACCCCTCTTAAAGCATGCTGGCTGGGGGATTCTGGGAGTGGAAGCCCAGCCCTCTTAAAGCATGGCTGGCTAGGGGATTCTGGGAGTGGAAGTCCACCCCTCTTAAAGCATGCTGACTGGGGGATTCTGGGAGTGGAAGTCCACCCCTCTTAAAGAATGCTGACTGGGGGATTCTGGGAGTGGAAGTCCCTCCCTCTTAAAGAATGCTGGATGGGGGATTCTGGGAGTGGAAGTCCACCCCTCTTAAAGAATGCTGACTGGGGGATTCTGGGAGTGGAAGTCCACCCCTCTTAAAGAATGCTGACTGGGGGATTCTGGGAGTGGAAGTCCACCCCTCTTAAAGAATGCTGACTGGGGGATTCTGGGAGTGGAAGCCCACCCCTCTTAAAGCATGCTGGCTGGGGGATTCTGGGAGTGGAAGCCCAGCCCTCTTAAAGCATGGCTGGCTAGGGGATTCTGGGAGTGGAAGTCCACCCCTCTTAAAGCATGCTGGCTGGGGGATTCTGGGAGTGGAAGTCCAGCCCTCTTAAAGCAGATTAGCTAAGTATTCTGGGTCTTAGTCCACCCATCTTGAAGCTCGCGAATTTTGGGAGTGAAAGACACCCCCCACCCCCACCCCCAATCTAACAGTTCCCAAGGTTGAAAAAATGCTTGATGCAAGTCTGTTATTGACCAGATGCCCTGAATCCCATAATATTTCTGTTCCTCCCTGCCAGGTTCCTCGGCAACGCAGTCCCAGTCTCCACAGTCCCTCCTGTTGACAGGAGCTCGACTGCAAAACACGCCCACCCTGACGGACATTTACCAGAACAAGCAGAAACTTCGGAAGCAGCATTCAGATCCCATCTGCCCATCCTACACAGCCTGCAGCTATGGCCATTCGCCCCAGCCCACCCGGCCGGTCAGTCTGGGGACATCGCCTACCAAACACATGGGGTCATCTCCGCGGAGCTCGGACTGGCCCTTCAAAACTCCCCTGCCAACCATCATTGGCTCTCCCACAAAGGTGAGTGTCAGAAGCTGCTATGCAGAGAAGCAGTTCGGTTTCGTGGTGAAGGCGCCACTAGGGGAACTGTGAATTCTAGTCCATCCTTAGCTGTGAAAGCTGACTGGGTGACTTTGGTCTAATCACCGGGTGATGGTGAGTTCTAGTCCTGCTTTAGGCACGAAAGCCAGCTGGGTGACTTAGGGCCAGTCATTAGGCGACTGTGAGTTCTAGTCCTGCCTTAGAGTAGAAGTCAGCAAAGTTGACTTTGAGCCAATCACCAGGAGACTCTGAATTCTAGTCCCTCCTTAACTTTGAAAGCTGGCTGGGTGACTTTGGGCCAATCACCAGGTGACAGTGAGTTCTAGTCCTGCTTTAAGCACAAAAGCTAGCTAGGTGACTTTGGGCCAGTCACTGTGAGTTCTAATCACAGTGACTGTGAGTTCTAGTCCCACCTTTGACATGAAAGCCAGCTGGGTGACTTTGGGCCAATCACCAGGAGACAATGAGTTCTACTCCCGCCTTTGACATGAAAGCTGATTGGGGTGACTTTAGGCCAATCACCAGGAGACGGTGAATTCTAATCCTGCCTTAGAGTGGAAAATCAGCAAGGTAACTTTGAGCCAATCAGCAGGAGAAGGTGAGTTCTAGTCCCACCTTAGGCATGCAAGCCGGCTGGGTGACTTTGGGCCAAGCAGCATGAGACAAGTCCCTTTAGGGGGAGGGGTGTCTGTCGTAACTTTGAATGGTCACTAAGCAACCGGTTGTAAGTGGAGGACTGCCTGTATTCTCCTCAAGGCCTTGAGATTGGGAGACGCTTGATGTTGAGATAGATGTTTTCTGTAAGTTGGAATTCACTGTCTCCAAAATTGCCCAGCTGGCTTTCATGGCTAAGGTGGGACTATAACTCACTGTCTCCTGGTGATTGGCCCAAAGTCACCCAGCCGGCTTTCATGCCTAAAGCAGGACTAGAACTCACCATCTCCTAGTGATTGGCCCAAAGTCACCCAGCCGTCTTACATGCCTAAGGCAGAACTAGAACTCACCTTCTCCTAGTGATTGGCCCAAAGTCACCCAGCCAGCTTTCACGCCTAAGGCAGGACTAGAACTCACTTTCTCCTGGTGATTGGCCCAAAGTCACCCAGCCGCCTTTCATGCCTAAGGCAGGACTAGAACTCACTTTCTCCTGGTGATTGGCCCAAAATTGCCCAGCCGCCTTACATGCCTAAGGCAGGACTAGAACTCACCGTCTCCTGGTGATTGGCCCAAAGTCACCCAGCCAGCTTTCATGCCTAAGGCGGGACTAGAACTCACAGTCTCCTGGTGATTGGCCCAAAGTCACCCAGCCAGCTTTCATGCCTAAGGCGGGACTAGAACTCACAGTCTCCTGGTGATTGGCCCAAAGTCACCCAGCCAGCTTTCATGCCTAAGGCGGGACTAGAACTCACAGTCTCCTGGTGATTGGCCCAAAGTCACCCAGCCAGCTTTCATGCCTAAGGCGGGACTAGAACTCACAGTCTCCTGGTGATTGACCCAAAGTCACTCAGCCGCCTTTCATGCCTAAGGCGGGACTAGAACTCACAGTCTCCTGGTGATTGACCCAAAGTCACTCAGCCGCCTTTCATGCCTAAGGCGGGACTAGAACTCACTTTCTCCTGGTGATTGACCCAAAGTCCCAGCCGCCTTTCATGCCTAAGGCGGAACTGGAACTCACCGTCTCCTGGTGATTGGCCCAAAGTCGCCCAATTGACTTTTGTGACCAAGGCAATACAAAAACTCGCCGTCCCCTGGTTTCTACTTGTGAGACTAGTCCAGGGGTCTCCAACCTTGGCAACTTTAAGACCACAAGTCTTCAACTCCCAGCAAAGCTGGCTGAGGAATTCTGGGAGTTGAAGTCCACAAGTCTTAAAAAGTTGCCAAGGTTGGAGACCCCTGGACTAGACTGCAGCTGCCATGCCTAAAGACCAAGCAGGCAGATAAGCAGGAAGCCAAGCACCAAGATCCCTTGAGTAGGGGAGGGGGGGGGGGTTATAGATAAGAAGGAACCAAGTCGTTAAGGCAACAAAGGAAGGAAAGTCACCTGACCCAGACAAAAGGATTTAAGCCTGAGCACATGGGAAGCCCCTCCCCAAATCCCATCAACGCCTCCCAGACTATTGGAATCCACAAACGGCCAGTCTTGAGAAGCAACGAAGGAAGGATTTGGGGGGAACCAAAGAGATCCTGAAGCTCACCCACTCTTTGAGTGGTCCTTTGGATCCAGACTTGGCAGCTTCTGTCCCTCCGGCTAGTGCCCGGCAGCCTCATTGAGAAGGATGTGGGTAAGTGTGGATGAGTGTGTGTGTGTGTGTGTAGGGAGACAGAGAGCTAATGAAATGGAATAACAGAGTTGGAAAGGGCCCTTGGAGGTCTTCTAGCCCAACCCCTTGGTTACAGGAGACCCTGTACCATTTCAGACTTGTGGCTGTCCAGTCTCTTCTTAAAAACCTCCAGTGATGGAGACAAATTGTTCCACTGATTAATTGTTCTCACTGTCAGGAAGTTTCTCCTTAGTTCCAGGTTGCTTCTCTCCTTGATGAGTTTCCACCCATTGCTTCTTGTCCTGCCTTCAGGTGCTTTGGAGAATAGCTTGACTCCCTCTTCTTTGGGGCAGCCCCTGAGATACTGGAACACTGCTATCATGTCTCCCCTGGCCCTTCTCTTCATTAAACTAGACATACCCAGTTCCAGCAACCTTTATCTGTTTTAGCCTCCAGTCCCTTAAAACCTCCTGTTTGCTCTTCTCTGCACTCTTTCTAGAGTCTTAACATCTTTTTTTACATCGTGGCAACCAAAACTGGATGCTGTATTCCACATGTGGCCTTACTGAGGCCTTATAAAGTGGTCTTAACACTTATTTATTTATTTATTTATTATATTTCTATACCGCCTTCTCCCAGAGGACTCAAGGCGGTGTACAGTCAAGAAAAATATAGATACACAAACATCATAAAATTGCTAATTGAAATTATTATTATAACATAGTTTGGCCCAATTAAATAGAACCTAAAATTAGATAACATTTTAAAAACATTCACATGTTCATATGTTTAGCCCCGCCTGTTGGAACATCAGGGTTTTGAGGGCATGGCGGAAAGCACGGAGATCAGGGTTATTTCATGTCTCAGGGGGCAGTTCATTCCGAAGGGTCACTTGATTTTGATTCTATCCCTCTGTTTATGCAGCCTAGAACTGCGTTGGCTTTTTTGGCAGCTGCTGCACACGGCTGGCTCATCTTTAAGGGATTGTCCCCTAGGACTCCAAGATCCATTTGTCTTGGAACTGCCATTGGTCAGAAATGCTGTAGGGTCTCCTGCTTGAGCCCCGGGGGGAGGGGGGGGGTGTTGGACTAGATGACCTATAAAGTGCTTTCCAACTCTGTTAATCTGTAATCCCTCTCACAGTTACCCACCCTTACGATGTACACTGTAATCAGCAAAGTTTTTGCTGTTGTTTTAAATTCGCTGGATCTCTTGTTTGTTATAAAAGAACTGGGTGTTCCACATTGTAGGAAGTTAGCCCCCACCCCTTTCCCAGAAGAATGAAATATTTTGGGAAATATTAAAAAGGCAGAAATATTATGTTTCCCTGGTTGAGAAATGGAGAAACATGTTTTAAAGACAAAGCAACTCCCACCTTCCTGCCTCCCCCCCACCCCCACCCCCTTTGTTAATGGGCTAGAGGCAGAAACTCAATCTTTGACAATAGGACCCATCTGCAACACAATAGCAACAGAAACTCACCCCATGGCAACTGGGAAGATTACATCAGCCAGCAAAGCTAGCTAAGACCCCCACCCCCTGGGAGTCTGACAACCAATCAGGATACTCTTTCGGTGCCCCAGGAAGTTCAAAGCCAGAGAGAGCATAAAACCCAGGGACTTGGCCCTTTTCTGTTCAGGAACTCAAACCATGTGATCCTGTCCACCATTAAACCATCTTTCCAAGCAGTCTCCATGTTTCCAGTGTCTTTTTCCCCACTTGGAGTTGAACCCAGAAGGATATTTCTTCCTACACATGGTGTTCTTTGGGAAGTGATTGAGTGTTGGCTGTTGACCATAGCGGTGAGTGTGTGAATGAGTGACCCTAAGCCAAATTTGGGACCACATGAGATGTGGGCCAGCACCTTCAACGACAAGCAACCGATGTCGGGTGATAGCTAAATAATAATCAGCTCTTGTTTTCAAGAGCTTTAAAAGGCCTGAATCCAGTCCATGTAACTACAGATATTCCTCAATTTAACAACAGTTCATTTAGTGACTGGTCAAAGTTACAACCAGGGGTGAAATGCTCCCGGTTCGGACTGGATCGCCCGATCCTGTAGTGATGGAGGCGGGTGGTTCGGAGAACCGGTAGCAAAAATCCCTCCCCCATTGCCCAGCTGAGCCGCGCAATCATCAGAGGCTTTTTATTTTATTTTTAGAAGCATTTTTTCTACAAACTCTTCGGCTGAAAAAATGCTTTTAAAAGTTAAAAAAAAAAAAAAAAGCCTCTGCCGATCGGGGAAGTCAGCTGGGATCGTCAGAGGCTTTTAAAAGCATTTTTTACAACCTCTTCAGCCGAAGAGGTTGTAGAAAAAATGGTTTTAAAAGTAAAAAAAAAAAAAATGGTGGCCACACCCACTCAGTCATATTACACACACACCAAGCCACGCCCACAGAACCGGTAGTAACAAATTTTACATTTCACCACTGGTTTCAACGATGCTGAGAAAAATGACTTAACGACTGTTTTTCACATGACCCTTTCAGCATCTTCAGGGTCACGTGATCCAAATCTGGACACTTGGCAACTGGCTCGTATTTATGACGGTCCCGGGGTTATGTCATCTGTTAGAGTTTGCAGCAATCCAGCCAGCACACAAGTAAAGAATTCGGCAGGATTCATGTATAAAATGAACTTCTTTATATACAGTAATATAAATCATGATGCATGTGTACAATACCCATGCAGCAGAAGCCAGAACCAGAACTCAGAATCCAGAAGCAAAGAATCAAATATAATACAGAGGCTATATTGCAAGGACAAAGCAACTCATATATACAAATCAGTCAAGCTAAGCCACGCCCAGGCTCCGAGCCCTCCGGGTCACCAAACAGTCCCCTTTGGCTTGACCTTTTACCATGTCTATTCCAATTCATGAACTCTTATACACTGACACGATCCCCTTTTGTGACTGTCTGGCAAGCAAAGTCCATGGGAAATCCAGATTCCCTTAACCACCCTGTGACGAGCTTAACAAATGAAACCCTTCACTTAACAACCATGGCAAGAAAAGTTGTAAAATGGAGCCAAAACTCGCTTTTAAAAAATGTCTCGCTGTCAGCACTTCAACCTGCATTTACTCTAGTGCTGACATAAGGAGAAGAGGGGGCAGCTGGCAAGAGGACACTTGACTTCTCACCTACTTATTTTCCCTGAAGATAATATCCCCTAGGAGATGAGATGGGAGGGGGGACATTCCTGGGAGCTGAAATAGTAGATATGGGGAGAGTGATTTGGAAGACGGCCAATGAGACGCAGAGAATTGGGGAACGGAAAGGGAAGGTTTGCGGGTCAGGAAGTCGGTGTTGGCTACGCCACGATCGGGGACAGATTGTCATGCTTAATAAAATGAAAGATTTCGTCAAAGACTATTTGTTTGGAAATGCAATTTATTTTATTTGAGATGACATCGAAACCTGACACTCGCTCAGCCACGGGAATTTCGGGCTTGGTTGTGGTCGTACGTCAAGGACTATCTATAATTTAAAATTCATTAAGGTTTTCTCTCTCTCTCTCTCTCTCTCTCTCTCTCTCTCTCTCTCTCTCTCCCCTCTCTCTCTCTCTTTTCCGATAGGCGACGGCTCCTTTCAAAATCCCCAAGACCCAGGCATCTTCAAATTTGGTGGGCCTCATCAGTCGGCAGGCGCCCTCGGACCTCTTGCTGCAGCCGAAGGACATGGGAGAGGCCAGAGAGCTCACACCCTTCCACGCCGCACAGAGTAGTGACAAGCAGGCGAGAGATCAACACGGAAAGACGGCCTTTGGCAGGTACTGATCCCCGTCCTACATTCTACAGCAGGGGTGTCCAACTCCGAGGTGTGTCTATGTCCTCAGGGTCGCCTGAGTAGAGCCTTCTTGGAACTGTCGAAAGGACTGTGCTGTAGAAGGCTCCACATCCACTTGCACCACTCAGGCGGCCCTGAGGACACAGACAATTTCCAAGTGGCCTCAACGACCCTCTAAAAAGGATGCAAATGGCCAGCTATCTGCAAGGGGTATAAATCCTTTCATTCCCATCCAGACAGAGCTGAAGAAGCTTCTTGGATGAAAAGCGAAACATCTTCAAAAAAAAAACACCAGAAAGTCCAGTTGCCTCTTGAAAAAAGCATCTTTGGGTCTGTCTAGGGTTTGTTTTTGTTTTTTAAATTTGATTTATATGCCGCCCTTCTCCGGAGACTCAGGGCGGCTTACAATGCGTTAAGCAATAGCCTTCATCCTTTTGTATATTTATACAAAGTCAGCTTATTGCCCCCACAATCTGGGTCCTCAATTTACCCACCTTAGAAAGGATGGAAGGCTGAGTCAACCTTGAGCCTGGGGAGATTCGAACTTGCAGTAATTGCAAGCAGCTGAATGTTAATAACAGGCTATTAGTCTGCTGCACCACCAGGCTCTAACTAACTCTCTAGGTTAGTTAGTTAGGTTAGAAGAGTCAACAACAGCTTGATGGCACATGATCACTCAGTTACGTTTTAAGATTGCTGATCAACTCTCTTCCAACAAATACATAATGAGGCTGCTCCCTCTTGTGTTGAGATCCTAACAAGAGTTCTTGGGTGTGTTTTATTTTTTGATAAGTGGAAGTTATTATTTTTATAATGGCTGTAATCGTTACGCCCTATTTACGGTGGTCAGGCCTGGAAGCATTTAGCATCGATTGGAAGATATATATATATATATATGCTGCCTTCCAGGCTCGTTCCAGCTGCCGTCCTTGCACGATCGTAAACCTTAAAAGCACTTAAAAGCAAAATAAAAGCTGTTTTCTGGAAGCGGAGAGTCCCGCACGAGGGACGGTAGACGCGCCTCGTTTCAAAGAACTCGCTCCCAAAAAATAAATAAATTCCCCATCTGGCAGCCTTCATTGCAGTGTGTAGCTCGGGCCAGAGAGAGGCTGGGTGTTTTTCCTGGCAAGATTTTTCCCACGGTGCTTTTTTAAAATGTGTTTTGCATTTCTTTTATCACCGCGGACGGATTAGAAACAACCCCAAGCTTTGATTTTTGTTGGAAGAGAGATCCATCTGGCTTCAGTTCCAAGCTTGGGAGAAAGACACTGCAAACATGGAGGCTGATGAGAAAGAAAGGTTCCGTTTATTGATGAAGCAAAACCACCGAACCGCATGTGATTTTGGGACAGCTGACAAAATGGAGTTCGGGGTGGGAGAAGGTTTATACCTTCTTTGGGCTTTGTAATTGAGCTTCCTGTTCCTGTGCGAGAACGTGTCCTTTAATATTTTATTGGCTGTTGTCGTATTGTTGTTGACATATTGGCTGTTGTCGTATTCTTTTGGCCAGTGCCGCCATGAGGTGAGGGAGGTGTTGGGGCACATGGGGCAGCTCCACCACCACCACCCGCCTCACGGTGGCACTGGGATGCCATGCGGCTTCCTGCCCTGCCACGAGCAAGCAAAAGTGGGACTCCCATACATGGGGGGGGGAAATAAGACGCCCTCCGCCCCCAAAAAATAAGCCCTAGTGCTTATTTTGGGGCCCAAAAGAAAGTAAGACCCAGTCTTATTTTCAGGGAAACACGGGTAGGGATTCTAGGCTGATCCCTCTTTTAACTCCACCCCAGACCATCCCAACGATGCCTTGGAAGTGATGTCCCAGTGCCTGGAAGCCGTGCAGGTCTGGATGGGGAGAAACAGGCTGCGACTCAACCCTTCCAAGACCGAGTGGCTGTGGCTGCCGGCGTCCCGGTATAGCCAGTTGACGCCATCGCTTGTTATTGGGGGTGAATCATTGGCCCCCACGGAAAGGGCTCGCAACTTGGGCGTCCTCCTGGACGCACGGCTGTCTTTAGAAGAGCATATGACGGCCGTGGCCAGGGGGGCTTTCTATCAGGTTCGCCTGATACGCCAGTTGCGCCCCTTTCTGGATCGGGACTCCCTACGCACGGTCATTCAAGCACTCGTAACTTCTCGTCTGGACTATTGTAACGCTCTCTACATGGGGCTCCCCTTGGGGTATACCCGGGGGCTCCAACTGGTGCAGAATGTGGCTGCGCGGGGGATTATGGGAGCGACTGGGCACTCCCATGTGACTCCTCTCCTGCGCGAGCTGCATTGGCTTCCGGTGGACTTCCGGGTGCGCTTCAAGGTCACCTTTAAAGCGCTCCATGGCTTAGGGCCGGGGTACTTACGGGACCGCCTTCTGCCACCAATTGCCTCCCACTGGCCAGTTTTCTCCCACAGAGAGGGTCTCCTCAGGATGCCATCAGCCAGACAATGTCGGCTGGCGACCCCCAGGGGGAGAGCCTTCTCTGTGGTGGCACCAGCCCTCTGGAACGACCTGCCCCCGGAGATACGCACGATATCAGACCTCCGGACTTTTCGTCGGGCCCTTAAAACCTATTTTTTTCAGTTAGCCGGGCTGTCCTGATTTTATGGTGGGTTTTTAAAATTTGAAATTGGTTTTGAATTGAAATGTTTTAAATTATGGGCCAAACTTTATTTATTTATTTTAAATCTATTTTAACTTTTGTGTACAAATGTTTTACTTTGGCTGTTCACCGCCCTGAGTCCGAAAGAAGAAGGGTGGTATAGAAATTTGAAAAATAAATAAATAAATAAAACTCCACCTCCAGCTTCCGCCACTCCTTCTCCTACATTAGCCTGACTACAGGATTATCGGAGTCTTTGCCATCTGGAGAACCTCAAGGTTGCGGGAGATTTTTCTGAGAGGAGGAGAAAGCACTAGATCGCTCGACTCCAACCTTGGAAACTTTGAAGACTTGTGGACTTCCAGAATTCCCCAGCCAGGGGAATTCTGAGAGTTGAAGTCCACAAATCTTTTAAAGTTGCCATTTTTGCACTAGATTCAGCCGGTTCGGGCGAATCGGGTAATTAAATTGGTGGCTGGCCCCACTCCTTCCAGGAATCCTCACACGCCCCATTTTGGCTCCCAGGTAAGTGCGGGGAGGCCTCCTAGGCCCAAAACGAGGCGCGAGAGGGGGGTGCGGCGCAGCTCCCTCGCAGCCCGTTTTTGCTCCCAGGAGGCTGCAAAGAGGCCTACTAGGCCCAAAACGGGGCGCAGGGGTGTGTGGCGCAGGCCCCCCCTCCCGCAGCTCATTTTTACTCCCAGGAGGCTGCATAGAGGCCTACTAGGCCCAAAACAAGGCGCAGGGGGTGTGACGCAGCCCCCCCCCCATGGCTCATTTTTGCTCCCAGGAGGCTGCATAGAGGCCTACTAGGCCCAAAACAAGGCGCAGGGGGTGTGACGCAGGCCCCCCCCCCATGGCTCATTTTTGCTCCCAGGAGGCTGCATAGAGGCCTACTAGGCCCAAAACAAGGCGCAGGGGGTGTGACGCAGCCCCCCCCCCATGGCTCATTTTTGCTCCCAGGAGGCTGCATAGAGGCCTACTAGGCCCAAAACAAGGCGCAGGGGGTGTGACGCAGCCCCCCCCATGGCTCATTTTTGCTCCCAGGAGGCTGCATAGAGGCCTACTAGGCCCAAAACAAGGCGTGGGGGTGAGGCACAGCCCCCCCCATGGCTCATTTTTGCTCCCAGGAGGCTGCATAGAGGCCTACTAGGCCCAAAACAAGGCGCAGGGGGTGTGACGCAGCCCCCCCCATGGCTCATTTTTGCTCCCAGGAGGCTGCATAGAGGCCTACTAGGCCCAAAACAAGGCGCAGGGGGTGTGACGCAGCCCCCCCCCCCCATGGCTCATTTTTGCTCCCAGGAGGCTGCATAGAGACCTACTAGGCCCAAAACAAGGCGCAGGGGGTGTGACGCAGCCCCCCCGCCCCCCCATGGCTCATTTTTGCTCCTAGGAGGCTGCATAGAGGCCTACTAGGCCCAAAACAAGGCGCAGGGGGTGTGACGCAGCCCCCCCCCCATGGCTCATTTTTGCTCCCAGGGGAGTACAGGAGGCAGAGTGTGACGGCCACCCAGCCGGTCATTAGGGCGGAGAACCGGTTGTTAAATTATTTGAATCCCACCACTGCATCTCCAATTCAGGACAGACACACACACAGCCTATCCTGACCATCTCCTTCATTCCTTTCGCAGGTCTGTAAGTACCAGCAAGCTGTCAGATCAACCAGCAAAGGGGGCCCTTAGCAGCCAGCTCTACCAGGGCAGCACTGACAGCCTTAATACCGAGCGGCCGATGGATACAGGTAAGGTGAAGGGATGTGCGCAGGTTGTTTTGACCTCTTCTGCATGCAATGGGGAAGAGAGAGGAAAACCATAAGGTGCCAACCCCACTGTTCAGTCCTGGCCTAGAAATACTCTTCTCTTTTTTTTTTAGTGTTTATAGGTATATATGGGCACTTGGAACCACTCAGGTTGAGGGTCCCAGCCATAATGTCTCTGGAGAGTCTCCGTCATCCAAGGTCATGGTTGTCCGAAAGATGCTTTTTCAAGAGGCAACTGGTTTGACAAACAAAAGTCCAGTTGCCTCTTTTGAAAAAATGACTTTGGGGTCACAGCCGTAATGATACGTCTGGCTTTGAAAATTGTCCCTTCCTGTGTCAGCTTGCCTCATAATCCATTGTCAAGAGTATTTACAATGTGACTACTATTTTATTTTATTTTTTATTTTATTTCAAATTTATATACCGCACCTTCTCCCAAGGGACTCAGGGCGGTGTACAGCCAGATAAAAACATACAATATAAACATTAAGAACAATTAAAAGAATATATATTAATTTGGCCCCAGTTTAAAATGACAAACCAATTAAAAATTTAAAAATATGTTAAGCCAGCCCTGCTTGATGAAAAAAGAAAGTTTTAAGGGCACGGCAGAAGGCACCGAGGTCTTGGATTCTCCTTATCTCAGGGGGCAGTTGGTTCCAGAGGGTGGGTGCCCCCACAGAGAAGGCCCTCCCCCTGGGGGTCACCAGCCTACATTGGCTGATGGCACCCCGAGGAGGCCCTCTCTGTGGGAGCGCACGGGTCGATGGGAGGTCGTCGGTAGCAGCAGGCGGTCTCGAAGATTTTGAGACAACCCAGGAGCAAAATACAGGACACAGAGATTTTGTCATTACAAAAAGTGGTATAGAACAGAATAAAGAATAGAATAGAATAGAATAGAATAGAATAGAATAGAATAGAATAGAATAGAATAGAATAGAATAGACTTCTTTATTATCCAAGTGTGATTGGACACACAAGGAATTTGTCTTTGGTGCACACGCTCTCGGAGTACGTAAAGAAAACACAAGCTGTTTACAGAGTCAGCATATTGCCCCCAACAATTTGGGTCCTCATTAAAGTATGCTGATTGGGGAATTCTGGAAGTTGAAGCGAGGGGTGAAATCTTAAAATTTGTTATTACCTGTTCTGTGGGTGTAGCTTGGTGGGGGGGTGTAATGTGACTGGGTGGGCATGGCCCACTTTTTTCTTTTTCTTTTTCTTTCTTTTTTTTTTTTTTTTTTTTACTTTTAAAAACATTTTTTCTACCACCTCTTGCAGAAAAAAAATGCTTTTAGAAGCCTCTGATGATCAGGCAACTCAGCTGGGATCGCCAGAGGCTTTTAAAGACTTTTTTTTTTCTACAACCTCTTTTAAAATGCTTTTAAATGCCTCTGATGATCCCAACTGAGCTGCGTGACCATCAGAGGCTTTTTTAAACTTTTAAAAGCATTTTTTTCGGCTGAAGTGGTTGTAGAAAAAATGCTTTTAAAAGTAAAAAAAAAAAATCAGCCTCTGATGATCGCGCTGCTCAGCTGGGCATGGGGGGAAGGCGCAGGGATTTTTGCTACCGGTTCTCTGAACCACCCACCACCATCGCTACCGGATCAGGCGATCCGGTCTGAACCGGGAGCATTTCACCCCTGCTTGAGCCCCAATTTGCCGTTGCCAAGCAGGTGTTAAGTTTGGCCTCATTTTATGACTTCACCGCATGTTCTTGCTCCCCCCCTGGACTTCTTTGTTAAGTGAATCACTGCAGTGCTTTAGTGACTCACACGGTTGTTAAGTGGATCTGGCTTCCCTGTTGATTTTGCTCGTCAAAAGGGGATCACGTGATCCGGTCCGAATCGGGAGCATTTCACCCCTGGTTGAAGCCCACCCATTTTCAAACATTCCAGCTGGGAAATTCTGGGGAATCAAAGCCCACCTATTTTTTTAAAGCATGCAGGCTGGAGAATTCTGGGAGCTGGAACCCATTCCTCTTTAAAGCCTGCTGACTGGGGAATTCTGGGAGTTGAAGTCCACCCATCTTAAAGCTGCCAAGTTTGAGAAACACCGCCTTACATTCACTATTCCAGCTTCTTCTGAGATCTAATCCAGTAATCTTTCCTCCCCAGCTCCCTCGGGGGCCTGTGGCATCACCGGAGGACATCCGTCCATGCCAGTTGGAGCCAGTTCCAGAGCAGTGATGTTCACTGTAGGATCGCCTCCAAACAGTGCCACGCCTCCGACCTGCACCCACATGGTACTCAGAGCTCGGACGATGTCAGGTGAGGAAGTGACTCCTCCTTCAGGGTCAAAGGGCCTTGAGCAAATTCTGTCTGGAGAACAGCCAGGCGGGGATGTTTTCTGAGTTAGCCATCTCAAAGAGAACTCCTGATCTCCAAGAAGACTCGAAGAAGGATGTCCATGGAGATTCTCAGTCATCAGGTCATGGTTGTCCCAAAAGTGCTTTTCAAAAGGCAACTGGACTCTCTTGGGGGGTTTTTTTTCCTTGAAAACCACACAGGAGAACACACCCATCAGGACAAAATTCAGAGGTCCATCTGCATCTGAAAGACAAAGGTCTTTTGAAGACAGCGAAGTCCACACTCTAGGCCAGGGGTCTGCAATCTTAAACACTCAAAAGAGCCATTTGGACCCGTTTCCCACAGAAAAGAAAACACCGGGAGCCACAAAACCCTTCCCGTGCCTGACTGTTTCTTCAGTAGCCACAAAACTAGCAAATTTTGTTTGGAATTAAATGTTCTGTTTTCTTCTGAAACTTTTCTTTTCTTGGATTTATCTATGGTTGGCCTACCGGAGGTCAAAAAGCTTAATAAATTGCGCGTCGGTGGGTGTCGCACGTTGGCAGTCGTGATGCATATTTTGAGCGACAGGGAGCCGCAGCAGAGGGATGAAAGAGCCACATGCGGCTCCAGACCCCTGCTCTAGGCAGAAAGGAACAGTGGTCTTGAAAGAGGGATGAAAGAAATCCATCAGAATAGAGCTGGAAGGGACCTTGGAGGTCTTCTAGTCCAACCCCCTGCTCAAGCAGGAGATCCTGTACCATTTCAGACAAATGGCTGTCTAATCTCTTCTTAAAAACCTCCAGTGGATCATGGAGCACCCACAACTTCTGGTGGCAAGCTGTTCCACTGGTTAATTGTCCCCACTGTTAGGAAAATCTCTCCTTATTTCTAGGTTGCTTCTCTCCTTGATTAGTTTTCATCCAGTTGTTTCTTGTCCTGCCTTCTGGTGCTTTGGAGAATAGGTTGACCCCCCTCCTCTTCTTTGTGGCAGCCCCTCAAATACCGGAAGACTGCTATCACGACCCCCCTAGTCCTTCTTTTCTCCAGACTAGAAATACCCTGTTCCTGCAACTGTGTTCTTTTAGTCTCCAAGCCCTTTAATCATCTTAGTTGCTCTTCTCTGCACTTTTTCCAAAGTCTCAACCTCTTTTTTTGTAACGTGGTGAACAAAACTGGATGCAGGTTTCCAGGTGTGTTAAAATTCCATCTGTGTTAAAATGGAAGAGCCCTCTCGAGAGAGAGAGAGAGGGATATGACCAGGGGTGGGCTGCTGGGAGTTTGCAGGGGTTCGGGAGAACCTCTAGCTAAGATTCTGTGCAGTTCGGAGAACCCCCAAATCCCACTCTTGGCTCCCTGCCCCACCCCTCCCAGGAGTCTCCCCCCGGTCCATTTTGGATGCAGGTAAGTGCAGGGCACACACGGGAGGGCAAAAAACGGGCCTACCAGAAGGCCAGAAACAGGCCTGTTTCCAGCCTCCAGAGGGCCTCTGGAGTCTGGGGAGGCCGTTTTCGTCCTCCTGGAGGCTCAAGGAAAGCCTCCGGAGCCGGGGGAGGGCAAAAATGCCCCTTCCCTCACCGTGGTGCAGGAGGCCGACTAGGCCACGCCCACCATGGCCACGCCCATCCAGCAACTGGGCAGGGAACCCCTTGCTAAAATTTTTGAAGCCCACCCCCGGATATGACACCACCTATCCTCCTGTTTAAAATATACTCCTTTCAGCAGTCCCAAGAAAGTTCCAAACCCTTATCCATTCTGATACAGGTGACCCTGAGGGCACAGATAAACCCCCAAGTGGCCTCAGTGTCCCTCGGAGAGCTAACCACCAACCTTCAGAGTACTAACGATCACACGACTTGGAAAGAATACAAATCCTTCCCTTTCCCATCATTCAGTCAGCACTGAAGAAGCTTCTTGGACGCGAAGGGAAATATCTTCAAGGAAAAAAACCCAGGAAACTCCAGTTGCCTTTTGGAAGAAGCACCTTTTGGGACTGGAGAAGAAGGGACTAGAGCCTATGCGTGTTGGCACGCATAGCCATATCAGTGGGCACGCCAGCTCAGCTCTGGCGCGCATGCGCATTCCGGCCAGCTGATTTTCGGGCCTTCTGGGCCCACCAGAAGTAGTGAAACAGGCTGTTTCCTGCCTCTGGAGGCAGGGGACACCAAAAAACGTCATTTCCTGTCCAACCAGGTTGGGAAATGGGCCGTTTCAGGCCTCCGAGGGGGTGGGGAAGGCTGTTTTCGCCCTCCCCAGATGCATAGAGAAGATCTGGAGCCAGGTGAGAAGGAAAAATGGGCCTACTGGGCCATTGCGTGCCAGGAGTGGGGGGGGGAGAATGGGGGGTTGTGCACGCATGCGCAGGGTGGGGCGCATAGGATTATGGGTGTGGGTGCGCGCATGAACCCGACCCCCCCTTCCTGGCACACGATGGCAAAAAGGTTAGCCATCATTGGACTAGAGAATTGGGTCAGTGCAGAAAGAAGCCGCAAGAAGTGAAGGTCTAGGAGAATAAACACACTTGGCAATTAATAATCTCTGCCTCCTTGGGCATCCCATATCCTTCAGGCTGTTTCACTAGCTCAGGAAGAGGTCCCAGGTGGCAGATTGCGGCCTTGATGGTGGGGTCCTTGGTGCTCTCTGAGCTGGGTTATTTGCTTGCCTATATTTTATGACCCAACTAGGTAACGGCATCAGTGTTAGAAGGGAGTGAAGTTTGTGGAGAAGTGGAAGGAGGAGGACTTGTGGGGGTCCTTGGTGCTCTCTGACCTTGGTTGCTTTTTTGCAGATGTTTCAAAACCCAACTAGGTAATATCATCAGTGCTAAAAGAGAGTGTGGTTTGTGGAGAAAGGGGGGGAGAAGGACTTGGGGGTCCTTGGTGCTTGGCTTAAGCGACGCCTTTCACACGGTCACTCACGCCCTTGTCACCTCCCGACTGGACTACTGTAATGCTCTCTACATGGGGCTCCCCTTGAAAAGCACCCGGAGGCTCCAACTGATCCAGAATGCGGCCGCGCGGGTGGTTATGGGCGCAAATCGTTGTGCCCACGTGACCCCCCTCCTGCGCGCGCTGCACTGTCTCCCAGTGGTCTTCCAGGTGCGATTCAAGGTGTTGGTTACCACCTTTAAAGCGCTCCATGGCATTGGACCTGGGTACCTTCGAGACCATCTTCTGCCACCAGTAGCCTCCCACCGGCCAGTCCACTCCCACAGAGAGGGTCTCCTCAGGGTGCCATCGGCCAAATTATGTCGGCTGGCGACACCCAGGGGGAGGGCCTTCTCTGTGGGAGCCCCAGCCCTGTGGAATGAACTGCCCCCGGAAATACGTAAGATCTCCGACCTCCGGGTATTTCGCTGTGCCCTCAAAACCTTGTTCTGCCAGGCCGGGCTATCAATGTAAAGATTTTAATTGGTTTTAAATGTGGGATTTTAAATTTGGGGGTTTTATAATTGAGCCAATTATTTAATAATTTTAATTATTTTTAAATTTTGTCTGTCTTTGTGCTTTTAATCAGGCTGTACCCCGTCCTGAGTCCTTCTCAAATCCCTCAAATAGTCCTCAAATCCCATTCCCTTCTAACACTGATGATGTTACCTAATTGGGTCATGAAACCTCTGCAAGAAAGCTACCCGGTTCAGAGAGTATCAAGGACCCCACAGTTGTCATCTCCGCCTCCTCCTCCATAAACCCCATTCCCTTCTTCCACTGATGAGATTACCTAGTTGGGTCGTGAAAACGTCTTCAAGAAAACACCAAACTCAAGACAGCAATAAGGATCCCCACAATTCATACCTAATTTACAAATATTCTCTTCGCTGGGGAGGATCTGTTAAGTTTACACGGTCTTTAGAGTGTGTTGTGATGTGTCTTTTTTCTTCCTTTTTTTTTTTAATTCCTGCCTTTTAGTTGGCTCTAACAGCTCCGGAGGCTCCCTGTGTTCTACCAGTGGCCGGATCCTGATGGGCTCCCCGCCTGGGATTTATATGGGAACCTCTCCTCCTGGTGCTGAGGCAGCCCCTTGCTTGAAGTACATGCCTTACGGCGCGTCGCCTCCCAGCTTTGAAGCTCCAGAACTGCCTGAAGAAACTTTGATGGAGGTATATGGGTTTGAGACAGTGGTGAAATCCACTTTTTTTTTTTACTACCGGTTCTGTGGGCGTGGCTTGGTGGGTATGGCAAGGGAAGGATACTGCAAAATCTCCATTCCCTCCCCACTCCTGGGGGAAGGATACTGCAAAATCCCCATTCCCTCCCCACTCCTGGGGGAAGGATACTGCAAAATCTCCATTCCCTCCCCACTTCTGGGGGAAGGATACTGCAAAATCCCCATACCCTCTCCACTCCTGGGGGAAGGATACTGCAAAATCCCCATTCCCTCTCCACTCCTGGGGGAAGGATACTGCAAAATCCCCATTCCCTCCCCACTCCTGGGGGAAGGATACTGCAAAATCTCCATTCCCTCCCCACTCCTGGGGGGAAGGATACTGCAAAATCCCCATTCCCTCCCCACTCCTGGGGGAAGGATACTGTAAAATCCCCATACCCTCCCCACTCCTGGGGGAAGGATATTGCAAAATCTCCATTCCCTCCCCACTCTGGGGCCAGCCAGAAGGTGGCATTTGCCGGTTCTCCGAACTACTCAAAATTTCCGCTCCTGGTTCTCCAGAACCTGTCAGAACCTGCCGGATTTCACCCCTTTACAAGGTTAATGGAGAACAGGGAGTCCTCATCTTACAACCGTTCGTTTAGCGACCGTTTGAAGTTAACAACGGGGCTGAAAACTGACTTAACGACCGTTTTTCACACCTACGACCGTTGCACGCGGCCCTGAGGTCACGCGACCAAAATTCAGACGCTTGGCCACTGACTCATGTTTATGATGGCAGTGTCGTGTGTCCCCCCCCCCCCCCGGGGTCACGTGATCCCCTTTTGCAACCTTCTGACAAGCAAAGTCAACGGGGAATCCGGATTCATTTAACAATCAGGTTACCAACTGCAGTGATTCACTTAACGACGGTGGCAAGATAGGTGGTAAAATGGAGCAAAACTCCACTTAGCCAATGTCTCACTTAGCAACAAAGGTTGGGCTCAATTGTGGTCATAGGTTCGAGGACTACCTGTACTGCTAAACAAAACAGCTTATGTCAAGATTAGCATTAGCATCCTTGTTACAGTTGGTGCTGTCTATATATATATATATATATATATATATATATATATATATATATATATATATATATATATATATATATATATATATATATCTGGTCTATAGATATAGATATCGATATAGATAGATAGATAGGTAGGTAGGTAGGTAGGTAGGTAGGTAGGTAGGTAGGTAGATAGATAGATAGATAGATAGATAGATAGATAGATAGATAGATAGATAGATAGATAGATATATCGGGCTGGTCTGCCTGGTTACAGGAAAACGACACCCAGTGTATAAGACGACCCCCGACTTTTGAGAAGATTTTCATGTGTTAAAAAGTCATTTTATATGCCGGAAAATACGGTGTATCGCCAGAGCCATGTAAAAGGAAATAAGTTTTTTTCTTTTACATGGCTCTGGCGATCCAAGCTCTGACGATTCCAGCTGAGTTGCCTGCTAATCAGTTGCCTGAGTTGGATCGCCAGAGCCATGTAAAAGGAAAAAAGTTTTCCTCCTCCAGCTTGCTTACCTTAGCTGCTAGTCGCAACGCTTGCCTTGCTTCGCTTGCCTGATCAAGCAGGCAGGCAGTTGTGGACTTCATCTCCCAGAATTCCTCAGCCAGCAAAACAAAGCTGGCTGAGGAATTCTGGGAGTTGAAGTCTACAAGTCTTAAAGTTGCCAAGGTTGGAGACCCCTGCTCTATTGGGTAAGTTTTTTTCCCCTTTGGGAGCTTTAAAAAAAAATAGTTAATTGGGGTTTTTTTTTAGTTGTTCTTTTTTAGACCTAGCCATTTAAAGTTTAGGAAGTTTTAAATTTAGCTTTCATATAAAAATAAAAATAAAATAAAATAATATTTGTGCAGCTTTCTGAGATTTAGTGTGTTTCTGTAGTGTTTCACTCTAACTACACAAACACACAAAATCTCACAAAGCTGTATGTGGAATTTTGTGTGTGTAAAGTGTGAAAGTTGTTCTTTTGGGCTTTTTGTGGCTGTGTGAGGTTCCTGCTTGTTTCAGGGGCCATTTTGGGTCTAGCACAGCTGCTTTTACATTGTGCGTGAGCCAGTTGATGTTTTTTAATTTTTATTTGGTGTGCGTTGGAAGAGGGGTAGTCTTATACGGCGAGTATAGCCCAAACCCTATATTTTAACAGGAAAAGTCGGGGGTCGTCTTATACGCCGGAAAATACGGTATATATATTTGGCATTGTAATTGTTTTTAATTCGTTCCTGTGTTTTATGATGCCTACTGCCAAGAGACACTCGTTGAGATGGGTGGCTGTGGAAATCAAATCACGAAATAAATCTTTACCCAGCCCCAAGGAATTGCACCGTCTTTGCCAGGACTAATATTTATAGCAGCATTAATCTGGAGTGTGGGAAGGCTATGTGGCAGAGAACATAGCCTTGCACTTAGCCCTAATATGCCCTGTCCAGGACATTAATAACACAACTTCGCAAACGTAGAAGGTCTTCAAACCCTTTGACTCGAGGGAGGCTATGCAGGTACAGCTAGTCCTCGTCTTACGACCACAATTGAGCCCTGTTCTGACCCAGCTCCCCAGACACGACAAACCCTCTGAAGTTAACTCAAAGATTTATTTATTAGGAGCACCAGCAGCCCAGGCAAAAAGTCTCTCTCTCCCTTTCTCTCCCTCCCCCCTCTCCCCCAGCAGGCTAACAAGTCCATCTGGCTGGGAGATGAATAGTTGTCTGCCCCATCTATTCATCTTCGCCCCCTGCCTTTTATCGCCAGAGCTAGGGTGGGGCTTTGCTAGCAACGGTGGCTCTTCCGTCCTGAGGACCGGCCCTTGGATTTCCACTGCTCTCCTCTCCTCTGCCTTCTGTGCATCCGTGCGTCAGGCACTGGACCCAGCTGTTCCTCCTCCTCTTCATCAGCCACCTCCAGACCTGTGGGCTGTTGACTCTCCATCTGAAGGCTGACGGACGGCCCAGCCTCCGCCTCTGTCCCTCTCTCTGACAGCTCCCTTCCCTCTTCCCACTGGGAGCTCTCAGGTTGCCTGGATGCTGATCCTGACTCCCCCGCCCCCTCCTCCTCCTATGATTCGGCTGTTGGAGGGACTGGCAGTCAACAGGCCACAAGAAGCCCAAAATTTCTGTTGCAAAGCAAGACATTTGTTAAGTGAGTCTTGAGTCTTGCCCCATGTTACGACCTTTCTTGCCACTGTTGTTAAGTGATTCACTGCAGATGTTCAGTTAGTAACCCGGTCATTAAGTAAATCTGGTGTTGTCCGTCCGTCCATCCCCAATTGACTTTGTTTATCAGAAGGTTACGAAACAGAATCCCATGATCCCGGGACACTGCGACCGTCATAAAGATATGCCAAGTGTCTGAATTTTGATCACGTAACCATGGGGATACTGCAATGGCCGTAAGTGTGAAAAACAGGCCAAAGTCACTTTTTTTCCCAGTACCGTTGTAACTTTGAACAGTCTGTTGTAAATCAAGGACTGCCTGTAATGGATGATTCCACAAAGTTAGTGGGCTATTTGCTCCTGGAGCTCAGTCCCAAGATTTAATGAAACTTGTGGGACTGCAAGCAATTTACAGGAAATATTTTCTGACCTTCCCTGAGTGGTGCAGTGGCCTAGAGGTGGAGCTCTCGCCTCACAATCAGGAGGCTGTGAGTTCAATCCTAAGTAGAGGCAGCTATTTCTCTCTCTCTCTCTCTCTCTCTCTGGGCACACTGAGAATATATCCGCTGAACAAAACTCTGCATTGGTGTCAGGAAGGGCATCCGGCTAGTAAAACACTCAGCTCCATTCAGTGGCCAAGACTCCATACCGTAAGGGATTATGAAGTCGTTAAAAGGGGGATGATTTTCTGACTTTCCCTCGCCGGCTTCCCATAAACCAATGGTGAAGCCTGCAGGAAAGGTTGCAAGTGCCAGTTGGTGGTCGATGCCCAGATCGTGGCCACTAGGGCGCTACAACAGCCAGAACAGTTCAAGAGTGGTCTATATGTAAAATATGTAAAATCTAAGCTGGCCTTTTGCTCGCTTCTCTCCAGAGGGAGCACACGGACACCCTACGCCACTTGAATTTGATGCTGGCCTTCACGGAGTGCGTGCTGGACCTGACGGCCATCCGCAGCGGCAACCCAGAGCTCTGCAACTCCGCCGTCTCCCTCTACCAGATCCAGGAGAGCGTCGTGGTGGATCAGATCAGCCGGCTGAGCAAAGACTGGGGGTGGGTGATCCCTCAAACGCCTGGCTTTCTTCCGTGGAAATCTCCTCCGGCCCAGGGAGGTTCATCTTCCAGCTTTCCCACTCTTACCAAAACCGTTTCAACATTCCACATTTTATTTATACATATATATATATATTTAAAAATCTTTCTGCAGTTTTTATATTTTTATGACTGTAAGCTGCCCAGAGTTACCCTGAGTAAGATGGATGGCGAGTAAAATTTATAAATAAATACATAAATTCCCCCACATGATTTCATACCTTTGTAGAGGAGAAAGGTGCAGATATGTTGAGTTGATCCAGGCTCACGTGGCAGGTTGCCCTAGAGGTGCACCCATAATCAGGAGCAGTCTTGCTTTTATCCTTAATGGAATGGAGGATAAAGAGCCTTGGTAGTACAGGGGTTTAAGGCACCCTGTTATTAAGCTGGTTATTAAGACCAGCTGCCTGCAATTACTGCAGGGTTCGAATCTCGCCAAGGCTCAAGGTTGACTCAGCCTTCCATCCTTTCTAAGGTAGGTGAAATGAGGACCCAGTTTGTGGGGGCAATAAGCTGACTTTGTATAAATATACAAAAGGATGAAGGCTATTGCTGAGCACATTGTAAGCCGCCCTGAGTCTTCGGAGAAGGGCGGCATATAAATCAAATTTTAAAAAAAGAAAAATGGGAATAGGGGTAGGGCAGGGCAGAACAGAGTAGAATCTTTATTGGGAATGGAATGGAATGGAATGGATTGGAATGGAATGGAATGGAATGGAAAATATGGAATAGAATACCCAGTTTCCCCCAAAATAAGACATCCCCTGATAATAAGCCCAATCAGGCTTTTGAGTGCATGGCAATAAGCCAACCGCTTATTTCAGGCTTCAAAAAAATATAAGGCAGGGTCTTATTTTCAGGGAAACATGGTAGAATATCAATAAGAACAGAATATAATAGAACAAGAAAGAATAGAATAGAATAGAATAGAATAGAATAGAATAGAATAGAATAGAATAGAATAGAATAGAATAGCTGCCAGCTGCCTGCAATTACTGCGAGTTCAAATCTCACCAGGCTCAAGGTTGACTCAGCCTTCCATCCTTCCGAGGTAGGTAAAATGAGGACCCAGATTGTGGGGGCGATAAGCTGACTTTGTATAAAAAAGAACACCGCTTGGGGGGGCCAAAAGCCCTACTAAGCAGGTATATACAAAAGTATGAAGGCTATTGCTTAACGCATTGTAAGCCGCCCTGAGTCTCCGGAGAAGGGCGGCATATAAATCGAACCAATAAATAAATGAATAGAATAGAATAGAATAGAATAGAATAGAATAGAATAGAATAGAATAGAAAAAAAGAATAGGGAAGGGAATACAATACAATACAGGAATGGAATGGAATAGAATAGAATTAGAATTAGAATAGAATAGAATAGAATAGAATAGAATAGAATAGAATAGAATAGAATAGAATAGAATAAAGAATAGAAAAGGGAATACAATACAATACAGGAGTGGAATGGAATAGAATTAGAATATAGAATAGAAGAATAGAATAGAATAGAATAGAATAGAATAGAATAGAATAGAATAGAAAGAATAGAATAATAGAATCTTTATTGAGAATAGAACAAAACAGGAATAGAACAGAATTCTTTACTGGCCAAGTGTGATTGGACACACAAGGAATTTATCTCTGGTGCAGAAGCTCTCAGTGTGCATACAAGCAACAAGTTATAAATCATGATCATAAAATACATTCATCATAAATCATTAAGATTGAATACTCAGTTATAGTTGTAAGATACTAAATAAGCAATCAACACGAACAATCGCAAAACATCTGGAACACCACTGGGGACACCATTGGCCCCGTTGGCAAAATTCCATCGGTCAATTGCAAAAGGGCAGCTTTACTTAGAACAGCTGACATCCCAAAGGTGCTTTTTCAAGAGGCCACTGGACTTTCTGGCTTTTCCTTGAAGACATTTTGCTTCCAATCCAGGAAGCTTCTTCAGCTCTGACCGGATGGTGGGGGGAATGGAAGAGTTTATACTCCTTGCAGACAGCTGGTCATTTGCAACCTTTTAGAGGGTCGTTGAGGCCACTTGGAGGTTTGTCTGTGTCTTCAGGGTCACAGAGAAACCTCTGGAACTGCTGAAAGGAGCTGTGTTGTAGAAGGCTCCACACCCATTTGCACCACTCAGGTGAGGACACAGATAAACCTCCAAGCGGCCTCAATGATTTGCTAAAAGGATGCAAATGGCCAGCTGTCTGCAAGGAGTATAAATCCTTCCCTTCCGCACCATCCAGTCAGAACTGAAGAAGCTTCTTGGATGAGAAGCGAAACGTCTTCAAAAGAAAAAAACAAAGTCCAGTTGCTTCTTGAAAAAAAGCACCTTTGGGACAGCCATGACCTGGATGATGGAGAATCTCCATAGACGTTCAGCCACCCAGAAGTTGCAACAGGAAGTGGGGGGGTGGCCAGGGGAGGGACCTCTCCTTGAGAGCCTTGAGTTTAGCAAAGGAAAGATTGACAAGATTGATGTTGCCCTTGTCAGCACTTCAAGCTGCATTTATTCTAGTGCTGACATAAGAAGGAGAAGCGGAGGCGTCTGGAAAGGGACGTTTGACTTTTCACCTACTTATTTTCCCTGGAGATAATCTCCCCTAGGGGATGGGATGGGAGGGGGGAAATTCCTTTGAGCTGGAGCAGTAGATTAGGGGTAGAGTGACTTGGAAGATGGCCAATGAGTGCAGGGGAGTGGGGAAAGGAAAGGGAGGGTTTTGGGTCTGGAAGTCAGTGTTGGCTGCGATGGAGTCGGAGTTAGAATGTCGCGCTTAATAAATGGGAGTTTTTCTTCAAAGACTCTCTGAAATGCAATTTATTTGAGACGACCTCGAAACCTGACAGCCCTCTTGTTTCCTGTTGTCTAGGCAAGTGGAACAGCTGGTCCTGTACATGAAGGCAGCCCAGCTCCTAGCCTCCTCCTTACACCTGGCCAAAGCCCAGATCAAATCGGCCAAGCTGAATCTCTCGACCGCGGTGAAGCAAGGTAAGCCCGGCGGCGTTTCTCCTGGAGAAAGTTCGAGAATGTTTTCCAATCTCGGAGTTCACGCAAAGTGTGCATCATCGGTCAATCAGGATAGAGCTGGAAGAGACCTTGGAGGACTTCTAGTTGAGCCCCCTGTTCAAGCAGGAGACCCTAGACTATTTCAATCAATCAATTAATCAATCAATCAATTAATCAATCAATCAGAATAGACCTGGAAGGGAGCTGGGAGGTTTTCTAGACAAGCCCTAGACCCATGATGGTGAACCTATGGCACGCGGAGCCATATCGGTGGGCACGTGAGTGTTGCCGTAGCACAGCTCCGGTGCACATGCATGCGCTGGCCAGCTGATTTTTGGGCCTTCCAGGCCCACCGAAAATCGGGAAACAGGCTGTTTCCAGCCTCCAGAGGGCCTCCAGCGGGGTGGGGAAGCCCGTTTTTCATCCTCCCCAGGCTCCAAGAAAGCCTCTGGAGCCTGGGGAGGGTGAAAAACGGGCCTACCAGGCCCACCGTGCCATCGCGTGCCAAAAGTGGGGGTCATGCAGGGGGTCGCGTGTGCGATGGTAGGGCACAATGTATTATGGGTGTGGGCATGCACGTGCGCAACCCCCCCAGGCTCCCCCTGCTTTTGGCACATGACGGCAAAAAGGTTAACCATCACTGCCCTAGACCACTGGTTCTTTCTAGCTATCTATCTAGCTATCTATTCCAGTGGTTCCCAACCTTTTTTTGGCCATACCCCACCTAAGCATCTCTAAAATCCTGATGCTCCCCCTGTGACCTCTGAATCTGAGACGGAAGACAAACAGCTGACAGAGAGCGAGAGAGTGGCTCCCATTGGGTGTGGAGGAAACTGGGGAAGGACAAAGTCAGGCTAGGCAGAGCAGGGGAGAGGTAGAAAATGTTCTGTCCCCGTCCCACACATGCACCCCCACAGACGGCCCGGAGTTAATAAGCCACACGACAAAACTCTTTGAAGATAAAGCTGGCAGCAACCCAGTGGCTAGCTTCCAATTCAGACTTTACTCACACAAAACAAAGATTAGACTGCAAGCATTCCGATAAAGCAGGCAAAGTTTCAGCAATACAAGGATTAGTCCAAATGCAGTCCGACAAGGCAGGCAGAAATCCAGTAATGCAGAGATCATGGATTATTTCTAGTTTTTGCTCATCACAAACTGAACCGGCCACCACACCCACATTTATACCCTGTGGGGTGTGGTCCAGTGACTCAGCTAATCTCTGGCACGCCTTCCCCTCTGCTGCGCACGCTTCTCCCTGCGCTGCTGTCGAGGATCCAGCCAGCACTTATCTCCTTCTGTGTCCACCTGTGGCTGCGGGACGTGCTTGGCTCTGGGCCTATCTCTTGGCCTTCGGTGTCCTCCGGAGGCATTGCCAGAGAGGAGGGTCCTGGAGAGGGAGGTCTTGCCAACTCCTCTCCCTCACTCTCAGAGTCTGCATCTGTCAAGGCAACGGAGCCACAACAGATGAAGAGCGAGGCCCAACCCCTCTCCTCATCCTACGGCGCGCAGGGAAGAACCCAGAAGAGAGCAACGTGGGGTGCAGTCTTACGAGGAAGGAGAGGGCCCCGATTCCCTTCACAAGGCACACCTGGGGATGGAGTTTAAAGGAGAGGCAGTCAGGAGGGGCCTTTGTCGGGAACAAACGCTGAATTCATCTAGTGTTTAGAGTTGTGGCCTGCATTCCTGGCCTTTCTCCTGACTGTTTGAATTATTGCCATGCTTCTGTGTGCTTGACGTGTCTTGCTGGAATTATTCTTCGCTTCTGGGACTCCTTATCTTGCCCTGCTGGAGTGACTGATTGCAGTCATTCTGCTTACTGCATTTGGACTGGAGTATCTGCAGCCAGAAGCTGCTGCAGGTTTGTGGGAGAGCTTTTCTCCAGGCCGGAGAGTAAACGGGACGTTGCGGGTAAAGTTGGTGCCAATAAAGGGACTCATACTGGTTCGCTGGTTCTGTTGCCTTTTTTTTTCTTTGCTTTAATTTATATGCCGCCCTTCTCCGGAGACTCAGGGCGGCTTACAATGCGCTAAGCAATAGCCTTCATCCTTTTGTATATTTTATACAAAGTCAGTTTATTGCCCCCACAAACTGGGTCCTCATTTCACCTACCTTAGAAAGGATGGAAGGCTGAGTCAACCTTGAGCCTGGCGAGATTTGAACCTGCAGTAATTGCAAGCAGCAGTTGTTAATAACAGGGTGCTTTAGACCACTGTACTACCAAGGCCTTCCTGCCTCGCTCGGGTCATCACAGGTTGCAAGTCAAGGACAACCTGCAAAGGCAAACATTTCAGCTGAGTTTCAGGGTGTTACTCAAATAGATACCTTCAGATGACCAAAAGGCTAGCATCCTTACTCGTGGGTGCTACTAGCAGTAGCCATTTATTGCCAAATCGCCACTCCTAAATGGAGATCCTTCTGTGGCTGCGTGCCTCCCACGCCTGGTTTCTTTGCGGAGTGCATGTTGTGTTGCACAATGGGTCACAAGTCCTTAGAGGAGGCAACCAGTGTTGGGTAACAGACCCTCTCTGTTTCCAGAGAACATTTAACAGAATATCAAAAATATTTAAAAAGAGCCCTGGTTAGCGCAGCAGACTAAAGCACTGTTAAGTAACACCGGCTGCCTGCAATTACTGCAAGTTCGAATCTCCCCAGGCTCAAGGTTGACTCAGCCTTCCGTCCTTTCTAACGTAGGTAAAATGAGGACCCGGATTGTGGGGGCAATAAACTGACTTTGTATAAAATATACAAAAGTATGAAGGCTATTGCTTAGCGCATTTCACGCAGCTCGCTTCACTCATCAATCGACTCATCGTGCCTGCAATGTGTGAGGTTTGTTGATTTGTACATGGGTCTCATGACACTTCCTGGTGACCAAAAATCTATTCTTGACTTTGAGTAACTTTATTGTCACTCCGAATGTACACTAATCGGCATATATTAAAATGAAATTTCATTGCATACAGCTCTTAAAGGATCAGCATGTCCAATATACTCTATCTATCTATCTATCTATCTATCTATCTATCTATCTATCTATCTATCTATCTATACATACGGGTGGAGTCTGGGCAACTGAATGGAGCTGAGTGTTTACTGGCCGGATGCCTTTCCTGTTGCCAGTGAGGAGTTTTGTTCAGCAGATATATTCTCATTGTGCCCAGAGAGAGAAATAGCTGCTCCTACCTAGGATCGAACTCACCGCCTCCCAACTGTGAGGCGAGAGCTCCACCTCTAGGCCACCACACCACTTCTCCAGTATGCACTATATGAACATGACTAATTTGTTTATTTAAACTATAAATAAATTTATAGCTTTATAGTTTTTTTTTTTTTTTAAATTTGATTTATATGCCGCCCTTCTCCGGAGACTCAGGGCGGCTTACAATGCGTTAAGCAATAGCCTTCATACTTTTTGTATATTTATACAAAGTCAGCTTATTGCCCCCACAAACTGGGTCCTCAATTTACCTACCTTAGAAAGGATGGAAGGCTGAGTCGACCTTGAGCCTGGGGAGATTCGAACTTACAGTAATTGCAGACAGCTGGTCTTAATAACAGGGTGCCTTAGATCACTGTACTACCAAGGCTCTAAATAAATTTATGGTATTTAAATAAATAAATACCAAATTATGCATATACTCGTCCTCATTCTGTCATAACAGCCAAAGAGCCAAATGAGAATTTTATTTATTTATTTATTTGCTAATTGATTGCAATTTTATTTTTTTATTTTTTTGCTTCCTTTGCAGTTGTCAAAAACCTGAACGAAAGGTATAAATTCTGCATCGCCATGTGCAAGAAGCTGACCGAAAAGCTGAACCACTTTTTCTCGGATAAGCAGCGTTTCGTCGATGAAATTAACAGCGTCACGGCCGAAAAGCTCATCTACAGCTGCGCGGTGGAAATGGTAAGAAAGCAGGGAAACTGACCGGATCGATCACTGTGCGGTAGAGAAGGCAGTTTACAGACCAATGGGGGAAGGTGGGGGAGGAGGCAGCACGCAGTGGTTTCCTTTCCACAGGTAGTCCTTGACTTACAACCACTGGTTGTAAGAGACGTCCAGGCTGAGCCCGAAGGAGGAGTCAAACACGTCATAAGTCATGAGTCCCTTTGCACCCGCAAAAGAAGTAGTGCAAAAGTCCAGTTCAACTTGAATGCCCTTCTTATCTTCCGCTCATTTCTCTTGACGGTTAATAGCTCAGATTCTTGTACTTACAGTCCTCAACTTACAACAATTTGATTAGTGACCATTTATAAAGTTACAACGGCACTGAAAAAAATGACTGATGATCGCTTTTCACACTTAACAACCGTTGCAGCATTCCCAAGGTCACATGATCAAAAATTCAAGACGCTTGGCAACTGGTTTCATATTTATGACCATTGCTGTCTTCCGGGGTCACATGATCCCCTTTTGCGACCTTCTGACAAGCCAAGTCAGATTCACTTAATATCCGGGTTACTAACTTAACAACTGCAGGTGATTCACTTAACAATTGTGGCAAGGATGGTTGTAAAACTCACTTAACAGAATTTTGGGGCTCAGTTGTGGTCATAAATCGAGGACTACCCATAGAGAGATTAAGCTTGCAATAAATTGTTATACTCTTTAGAACTGACGGAATCTCCTGATTTCGCGTTTGACTTGTTTAGCGGCTGTTCCAAGTTGCAACGGCATTGACAAAAATGACTTATGACCAGGGATGGGATGCTGGGGGTTCACAGGGGTTCGGGAGAACCTCTAGCTAAGATTCTATGCAGTTCAGAGAACCCCAAAATCCCACTTCTGGCTGGCTCCGCCCCTCCCCTCCCAGGAGTCCCCACGCGGCCCGTATTGGATGCAGGTAAATGCAGGGCACGGGTGGAGGCTCAGGGAGGGCGAAAAACGGGACTACGGGAAGTTCGCAAAGGCCAGAAACGGGGCCCTTTCTGGCCTCCAGAGAGCCTCTGGAGCCCGGGGAGGGCAAAAACGTCCTGATGCCCACCGTGGCCATGCCCACCCAGCAGCCTGGCACAGAACCTCTTGCTAAAATTTTTGAAGCTCGCCTCTGCTTACGACCGATTTTACACACTTAACAACTGCTGCAGTGTCCCCAGGGTCACGTGATTGAAATTTGGCCGCTATGCGGCAGGCCTATATATATCATGACTGTAGCATCCCAGGGTCACATGGTCGACATTTGCCACCTTCTGTTCTGCCTGAGCTACGGCCCCCAAAGAACGCAGCACACACAAAGTCCGTACAAACCTTCGTTTACTAAATTAAATCAGTCTTTTTCAAACAAAGGCTGTTAATTAACTTTCTTAACAGCCTACAAGAATCCAAAGAATAAATAATCGTAATCTTACTAGGGTTGGCAGAAAGCCCAGAAGCAATTTGCAGGAAGCTGATAAGAGAACTAAGATCAAGACGCGAAGGAGAGTGAATGAAGTTGTTCCCTGCAAATTGCCTCAGTCGTCGTCCTTCCTTAAATAGGCTAAGGGAGTGGCCAATTAGCCCCAAGCCTTACTCTTGAGGAGACCTCCTCCTGAGGAGCCACTCCTGCCTTTTGGCAGCTCTGCGCGCCCATGCATTGAGAAGAGGCTCCTCCTCTTCTTCCTCTTCACTTAAGGAAGCTTCTGGAGGTTCTGAAGGCCCTGGCTGAATCCCCGCCTCTGGCACCACATCTTCTCCAGCCTCCTCATTGTCCGACTCGAGTGCCAGCTGCATAGATTGCTGGCGCAGCACCACACCAGCCTCCTCGCTGTCGGAATCAGCTACTAGCTGCACAGGCCGTATATGGGCCACATCACCTTCCCAGCCAGCATTTGATGAACAAAATCAATGGGGAAAGCCAGATTTGCTTAACAACGGCATGATTCACTTAACAACACACACACACACACACACACACACACACACACACACACACAAAGATTGCAAAATCAGACACGGCTCACTGAACAACCATCTCGCTTTTTAGCGAAAGAAATCCTGGCCCCCGTTACAGTCATAAATTTGAAGATTATCTATGGAAAGCCTCCTGCTGCTCTTAAACCAGGCACACAAAACAACTCCGGCACAACCTGGAGGCACCTGGAGATTAATTAAGAGTGCTTTCAGCTCATTACTTCTTCCTCTTAATTTGGGGAAAAGTTTTTGGTGACGCTGTCTAACCGATCTTTCATCAGACTTCATTATCCTTAGCTCGAACGTCCCCCAGGGCTGTGTGGTCCCAAGATGGAAGGTTGAAGCCTTTCCCGGAATCTACCATAAATTATGTAGTTGGAGGCCCTAAAGATTTATTTTATTTTATTTTTAATTTAACAAAGTTGCAAGGGTCCTTGGAGGTCTTCTAGTCCAACCCCCTGCTTAGGCAGGAAACTCAGACACATGCTCAGAGACATGGTATTGTAGAGTAGAACAGAACAGAACAGAATAGAACAGAATAGAATTCTCTATTGGCCAAGTGTGATTGGACACACAAGGAATTTGTCTTTGGTGCATATAGAATATAGAATAAAATAGCATAGAATAGAATAGCATAGAATAACAGAGTTGGAAGGGTCCTTGGAGGTCTTCTAGTCCAAGAGAGAGAGAGAGGAGAGAGAGAGAGAGAGAGAGAGAGAGAGAGAGAGAGAGATGGATAGATAGAAGATAGATGGATGGATGGATAGATGGATGGATAGATGATACATAGGATAGGTAGGATAGATAGGCAATGGATGTGTGATTGGATGGATGGATGGATGGATGGAAGGAAGGAAGGATAGATATGGATAGATAGATAAGTAGTAGATGGATTGATGATAGATTAGAGAGATAGATATAGAAAGAAAGAAACTGTGGATGATATAGATGGATGGAAGGAGAGAGAGAAAGTGTCTCCTGTCTTTTTCTTTTTGACCTCTGTTCAACTGCCTCTCCTCCTCCTCCTCCTCCTCCTCCTCCTCCTCCTCCTCCTCCTCCTCCTCCTCCTCCTCCTCAGGTCCAGGCAGCAGCCTTGGATGAGATGTTTCAGCAGACCGAAGACATTGCGTACCGGTACCACAAAGCTGCGTTGTTGATGGAAGGCCTAGCGAAGATCTTGCAGGATCCGGCTGACATTGAGAACATCAACCGTTGTACGTGAGGGGTTTGCTACTTTTATAGAATTACATACCTCGGGAAAAAAGCACAGCGCAGCCGAAAAATAAAACGGCAGTCATAAATTACCATTCATTAATGTACACGAATCACTGATGGAGGTTGAGAACTACCTGTATACAAAAATGGCATTCTCCCTTTGGAGGCTGCTCATTTTGTGTTATACGGTTAGTCCTCGACTTAGGGCTCAACATTTTTGTCGCTAAGTCACGCGGTAACCCTCAATTGGCCCAATTTATGACTGCAATTTCAGCCTCAATTACAATCGTAAGTCGAGGACCACCCGTAAAACAGAACATGGGTTTTTGACGCTCTCGCGCCTGAACTACCAGATCATCCTTGTGCCGCGAAATTATTTTGTTCCACATTTTCCTTCCTAAAAACTGCTCTGAGGAGCACATTGAAACAAGCTAGATTTGCCGCTTTTTGCAGTATCCTTCCCCTGGCACGCCCACCAAGCCACGCCCACAGAACTGGTAGTAAAAATAATTTGAATTTCACCACTGGGCCAAACCCACTCAACAAATGTCTCACTTCACAACATAAATTTTGGTCTCATTGGGGTTGTTGTAAGTCAAGGACTACCTATATTCAGGGGGCCCTGAGGGCACAAATAAATCTCCCAGTGGTCTCAGCAACTCGTGCAAACAACCAGATGACTGCAAGGAATATAAATCCTATCGTCTATCCTTCAGTCAGAACCAAAGAAGCTTCTTGGATGAGAAGCAAAACGTCTTCAAAGAATCACAAAGAAAGTTCATATGCCTCTTGAAAAAAAAGACTGGGAGGACTGAGAATCTCCATCTAGCAAGAACATCTACACAACCCTCCTAACTGAAATCCGAGCTTATGTAAAGCAAAAGTTGCAAAACGCGGCGAGCTTGCAACCAGTTGTAGATCTATCTTAGCGTACGTCATCCCGCGTGCTTTTTTTTCCAAAATTTTGCTTGACTGACCCAGAGCAGGCCCACAGGCTTCCAACGCACAGCAAGCGTTACTCACCACCACGCTGATGTCTTAATGCAGTGATGGCTAACCTTTTCCGGACCGAGTGCGCATGTATGCATGTGCGCCCAAACCCTCAAAATGCAATGTTCGCACAGCCCTGCGCATGCGTCCCGGCTCAGTGCATGGGTGCACAACCCCACGTGCACCCCATGCATGAATGCACGGCCGTGCATGCATACACCCCACGCACGTGCCATGCCCCTGCACATGCGCACGCAGCCCCCTCCCCCCGCACACAGCCCCACACACACGTGCGGCTCCTCACACGTGTCCTGTCCCTTACGCATGTACGGCAGAGACCCAGAGACCAGCTGGCTGGTGGGAGGCACACACACATGTGCAGCGGAGCTGAACTCGGGCAATGGCTTATTGTGGTCTGCCAGCAGCCCACAGAGTTAGCAGCAGAGTCAGACAGTGAGGAGGCTGGGGAGGACCACGGGCCAGTCCTGGAGTCTGGGGAAGGCCCGGAAGAGAGCTCTGCGTCGGAGGCAGAGATGGGGCCAGGGCCATCTGGGAGCGATGCGTGGATTCCGGAGCCTCCAGAGGCAGACAGCAGAGAGGCAGAGGAACAGGGGGAGCCTGTTCCTAGTGCGTGCATGCACAGAGCTGCCAGAAGGCAAGAGCAGCTGAAGCAAAAAGGACAACTTGGGAGTAAGGCCAGGAGATGATTGGCCCCTCCCATAAAGCTTAAAAGAGCAGCAAAGGCTCTTGGGCTCTTTGTAGGATAGCAACGTTGCTAAATCTGTTTCCAGTCGGCATCTCTTGTTTCTGAACTTTGTGGGGCTTTGCCAAGAAAGGCCTTTGGCAGGCTGCCAAAGAAGATAAAAGGTTTGTGATAAGCCCGAAGGACTTTTTCTGAAGGACTTGTTTTGTAATTAATTTGGACTAAGCTGGGAATGAAGTAATTCTCAGCTGTTATAATAAAATAGGTGTGTTTGAGAATAATTGTGTCCCGTAATGACTAAGTGAGCCTAGGTCACAACGTGGCTTGCATGCCCACAGACAGGGCACTGTGTGCCACCTCTGACACTCGCGGCGTAGGTTCGCCATCACGGTCTTAATGCCTTGGGTTTTTTTCCCCCCCTTTGTTTCGTTTTTCAGATAAAGCTAGTATCGAACGGAGACTCTCAGCTCTGTGTTGCAACGCCGTCGCCGTCTATGAATAGAAGACCACCAACCCCCTCCACCCTACTCCCCAGGGACCACTCAGTGTAGCCAAAATCTGGGCATTTCCCATCCCGAAGGAAAGCTGGCTTCTATCAAAGGAAGAAGAAGAAAAAAAACAGTTCGTGAAACGGAGAAAGAACAATTGCAAATAATGTTGTGGGAGAAAAAAAAATGCCCTTAGACAAACATTCTGTCCGTCTTTCGTTTCACAGCCAGACGGGGAAAACTCTTTATACCCATTTCCACCGCAATTTTAATCTTGGCAAAGCAACGATTCGCCGTAGATTACGAGTGTACGGAACCAGCATCCTTCTCTGGAAAGATTCCCCCCTCCAAATTTTGGTTCCCGTTTCGGGGAAACAGGACGAACGTTTGTAATCGCGGGACAAAACCGAACGAAGGCGTCAACGTTGTTCGCTCTGGACTTCCGTCCCCGCGAAGCTTTGCAGCCGGGCATGGGTGGCGCGAAGACTTCCCCCCCCTCCCCGCCTCCAACCATCAGGATGCATTTTGCAAAATAAATTAAATAAATAAATAACTTTGAGACGGCAAAATGACAGACCTTTTGAGAAGGTCGGTCGTAGACGTACGAGCTTGATGTTCTTCCCGAATTCCCTCTCGCCCGAATACTTTATATTGCACTAATTTACTAAACTGTGTATCGGTGGGGATTATTATTATTTTATTTTATTTTGATAATTAAAAAAAAAAAAATACAGAAAAGGCACAACTTATCCATTCTTCCTGGCCGGGCAGAGAAGGGGAAACGATAAATTCATTATTGACTCGTTGAGGGTGCAGGAGAGACGGAGGGGGAAAAAAACCATGACATCACAAAAAAAAAAATCCTCTCGGACTTCAAACCTGCAGCTTTCTTAGGAGACGTTTCGAAGTTGTGTAGACGTGTCGTACAGTGAATTCTTTGGTTTTTATAGCCCTTTATCTTAATACTTGAGTAAATACTCTATAGAGTGGCATTTTCTCGACCTTCTCAACTTTTTAAAGAGGTGCGGACTTCCAACTCCCAGAATTCCCTATATAGCCGGCTGGGGAATTCTGGGAGTTGAAGTCTTATGGGTCTTAGCATTGCTAAGATGGAGAGAGAGAAAAACCTGATTTTCGATAACATTCTGACTTGGTTTCCTTCCCTGTCCTATAATCCTGGCTTGTTTAGTTGCATTAAGAAATCATTATAATCAGGTTTATCTGGAGCAGCTTTTGAGGACATCTGTCCGTCGCCTCTTATTCCTCCTCCAAACATCCCTTTCCACAACTCAAAAAGTTATTTTAAAAACAGGAATTTCATAGTTGGTCCTCTTTGGAGGCTTTCTTACTGCCATCACTTGAAAGGACGGGGGGGGGGGAAAATAAGCTTGTTTATAATGGAATCATTTCAATCCCTTCTTTTTTAAAAAAAAAAAAAGAACTCAAAATTTCCTCGGATGGAAGTTGATTGGCATTTAAAACACCCTCGAATTTAACAAGAGTGTGAAGAATATGTCTTCGTGCGTTTATCTCTCCTTTTTTTTTTTTCCCCTTTCCCTTTATTTTTTCCTTTGACAAAGTAATGTACTTTTTACTTTTATTTATCAGTAACAAGCAATTTCGGAAGTTCGGTTGAAAGTGTTCTATCCTCTTTTTTTTTTTTTAATTTATACGACGTTTGTATTTTTAGATCTTTAATACGGTGTTTCTACGACTACCTCTCCTTTGTAACTGCATGCGTTTAATTCTCGACCCGTAGTGTACTAACTGAAGAGAAAAAAGAAAAAAACAAAAAACCCTGTTGATAACTTTTATTATGGCCTGTATAAATGTATATTAAAGTTAAAAAAAAAAAAGCAAGTGAAACAATAATAAACTGATACTCAGATGTTCCTATATATATAGATATATATATAATACAGGGTTTGACCATCGGATTCAAAATCAAGGTGTCGATGTTTTATCTGTTTCGTTAGTTTGTTTTCATTTGGCCTAAGGAACAATAATGCCTCTTCCCAGAAAAAGTTTCGACCTGATTCTGGGATGGCGAGTTGCAATTAAAATGTTCACGGAAGGAACTGTATGGTCCTTGATGCTCTCTGAGTTTGGTGGTTTTCTTGAAGACGTTTCATGACCCAGCTAGGGAACATCATCAGTGCTAAAAGGAAGGGGGGTGAAGGACGAGGATTGTGGGGTCCTTGATGCTTTCTGAACTTGGCTGTTTTCTTGCAGACGTTTTGGAACCCAACTAGGGAACATCATCAGTGGTAGAAGCGACAGGTTTGCAGAGAGGAGGAGGAGGAGGGTGAAGAAGAGGAAGACGACTTGTCTTGGCGCTCTCTGAGCTTGGTGGTTTTCTCGCAGACGTTTCGTGACCCAACTAGGGAACATCATCAGTGATAGTAGGGAGTGTGGTTTGTGGGGTGAAGAAGCAGAAAGGGAGGAGGAAGAAGAGAAAGGAGAGGAGGAGGGTAGGAGGAGGACCGTGGGGTCCTTGGTGCTCTCTCAGCTTGGTGGTTTTCTTGTAGACGTTTTGTGACCCAACTACGTAACATCATCAGTGCTAGAAGGGAGGGGGGTTTGAGGAGAGGAAGAACTGATGATGTTACCTACTTGGTTCATGGAACGTCTGCAAGAAAGCCACCAAGTTCAGAGAGCACCAAGGACCCCACGGTCCTCCTTCCCTTCCTCCTCCTCCTCTTCTTCCCTCCTCCTCCACTCCATAACACCCCATTCCTTCAAGCACTGATGACATTACCTAGTTGGGTCATGAAAAATCTGGACACCCCCCCCCCCCAAAAAAACACCCCAACTCAGCAACAAGGACTCCATCATCTTCCTCCCTAGTCAGGCCATGAAACGTCTGCAAGAAAATCACGCAAGCTCGGAGAGAGCACCAAGGACCCCCACGCTTCCAACCCTGAGCTACACATATATTCTCTTCTTTTGGCGACAGCTTCTTAAATGGGGAAGGTGCTTTGGGGGGCATCTTCTTGGAAGCATTTGGCTGCCACTGCTGAAAATCAGGGTGCCATTTTTAAGGCAGAAAAAGAGACAAGCCACAGTTGGCTGGCTGGAGAATCCTGGGATTTGGAAGTCCACGCATCTTAAAAGAGGGCTCTCCAACCTTGGCAACTTTAAGCCTGGCGGACTTCAACTCCCAGAATTCCCCAGCCAGAATGCTTTAAGATAGATGGATTTCAACTCCCATAATTCCCCAGCCAGCATGCTTTAAGATGGTTGACTCCCAGAATTCACAGCCAGCACAGTAAAATGTGCAGAGTTCAACTCCCAGAATTCCCTAGCTTGCATCCTTTAAGATGGGTGGACTTCAGCTCCCAGAATTCCCCACCTGGCATGCTTTAAGATGGGTGGACTTCAACTCCCAGAATTCCCCACCTGGCATGCTTTAAGATGAATTGACTCCCATAATTCCCTAGCTTGCATCCTTTAAGAGGGGTGGAATTCAACTCCCAGAATTCCCCAGCCTGCTTGCTTTAAGATAGATGGATTTCAACTCCCAGAATTCCCCAGCCAGCCATGCTTTAAGAGGAGTGGACTTCCACTCCCAGAATTCCCCAGCCAGCCATGCTTTAAGATGGTTGACTCCCAGAATTCACAGCCAGCACAGTAAAATGTGCAGAGTTCAACTCCCAGAATTCCCTAGCTTGCATCCTTTTAAGATGGGTGGACTTCAACTCCCAGAATTCCCCAGCCAGCCTGCTTTAAGAGGGGTGGACTTCGGTGGTGGCATGCAAAGCAAAAGCTGGCTGGGGAATTCTGGGAGTTGAAGTCCGCCAGGCTTAGAGAGCCCTGCCTTAAAAGTTACCCAAGTTGAAAAACAAACCCTGGCCTGAACCATCAGGCCAAGAAGGATCCTTCCCACGCTGAACCTCTGCTTTCCATCAAGAGGAGGGTTAATTTAGGCCAGGTGGCTAAAGAGATTACCTTGAACTGGGACACTTGCCCACACATATTGCCGTAGTTTCCCTTGCAAAACAACTCGTGCCCTTTTGTGCTGCAACACACCCTTGGAAGTGTGACAGGCTTGCTTCCCTTGGCACGGCGTGATCGGATGATACCCTGATCCCTGTTCCTGCCTTTGACTTCACAGTCTTTGGATTTGGGCCTAGTTGAGCTTCGTCTGGCTAATCCTGGTTTGTTCTTCCAGTTTTACCAGGGGTCCTCTTGGATCTTGATTAGAGATGGGAAGGCCTGCAGGAAAAAAACAGGGTTTAAAAAGCATAATAATTTCTGGGGTGGGGGGTGTCCCCGAATGGCTTTGGGGGGAAAGAAAAAACAAACCCTGTTTTTCCCCACCCACCCCCATTTTTCTAGTTTCTTTTTTTTTTCAGGGCTTCCCATCTCTAATTTTGAAATTGCCCTCTATAGCAGGGGTGAGGAACTATTGCCAATTATACCCTGTGGACTTCATCTCCCAGAATTCCCCAGCCAGCATGCTTTAAGACGGGTGGACTTCATCTCCCAGAATTCCCCAGCCAGCATGCTTTGAGATGGGGGGACTTCAACTCCCAGAATTCCCCAGCCAGCATGCTTTGAGATGGGGGGACTTCATCTCCCAGAATTCCCCAGCCAGCATGCTTTGAGATGGGGGGACTTCAACTCCCAGAATTCCCCAGCCAGCATGCTTTGAGATGGGGGGACTTCATCTCCCAGAATTCCCCAGCCAGCATGCTTTGAGATGGGGGGACTTCAACTCCCAGAATTCCCCATTCAGCATGCTTTAAGACAGGTGGACTTCATCTCCCAGAATTCCTCAGCCAGCATGCTTTAAGATGGGTGGACTTCATCTCCCAGAATTCCCCAGCCAGCATGCTTTGAGATGGGTCAACTCCCAGAATTCACAGCCAGCACAGTAAAATATGCAGAGTTCAACTCCCAGAATTCCCTAGCTTGCATCCTTTAAGATGGGTGGACTTCAGTGCTGGGATTCAAAAAAATTTACCACCGGTTCTGTGGATGTGGCTTGGTGGGCGTGGCATGGCTTGGTGGGAGTGGCTTGGGCATGGCAGGGGAAGAATACTGCAAAATCTCCATTCCCACCCCACTCCAGGGGAAGGATACGGTAAACTCTCCATTCTCTCCCCACTGGGGGCGGGGGGGGGAAGGATATTGCAAAATCCCCATTTCCTCCCGATCAGCTGGGACTCGGGAGGCAGAGAATAGATGGGGGCGGGGCCAGTCAGAATTTTTAATACCGGTTCTCCGAACTACTCAAAATTTCTGCTACCGGTTCTCCAGAACTGGTCAGAACCTGCTGAAACCCACCTCTGATGGACTTCAACTTCTAGAAGCCCCCAGCCAGTCTTTTTAAAATGGATGGACTTCAATTCCCCAGCCAGCACAGGAACTGATCAGGTCCACCCATTTTAAAACACTGGCTGGGGAATTCTGGGAGTTGAACCTTAGACGTCTTAAAACTGCAAAATATGAAAAAACACGGAAAAAAATCAGGAAGGAGTCCAGTAGCCCCATTTCTGACTTAACAAAATTTATTACAGCGGGGATGACGGAGGCAGGTCCTGAGAATGTTATCTGGGATGAGTTTGATCCTGTGACCCCTGAGGACGTGGACAGGATTCTGGGTAGATTGAACGCGACCACTTGTTTATTGGACCCGTGCCCCTCCTGGTTAGTGCTGGCTTCCCGGGAGGTGACGCGAGGCTGGCTCCAGGGGATTATAAATGGTTCATTGGGTGAGGGTGACTTTCCCACCGCCTTGAAAGAGGCGGTTGTGAGACCTCTCCTCAAGAAGCCTTCCCTGGACCCGGCAGTATTAGCTAACTATTGTCCAGTCTCCAACCTTCGCTTTGTGGCGAAGGTTGTTGAGAGTGTGGTACCGCGACAGCTCCCCCAGTACCTGGATGAAACGATGTATCTAGATCCGTTCCAGTCGGGCTTCAGGCCTGGGCACAGCACGGAAACGTCATTAGTCGCGTTGGTGGATGATCTCTGGAGGTCTCGGGACAGGGGGTGCTCCTCTGTCCTGGTCCTATTAGATCTCTCAGCGGCTTTTGATACCATCAACAATGGTATCATGCTGCACCGGTTGGAAGAGTTGGGGGTGGGATGCACCGTACTACGGTGGTTCTCCTCCTTTCTTTCCGACCGGTCGCAGTCTGTGTTGACTGGGGGGCAGAGGTCGACCCCGAGGCCCCTTATATGTGGGGTGCCACAAGGATCGGGCCTCTCGCCCCTTTTGTTCAACATTTATGTAAAGCCGCTGGGTGAGATCATCCATGGTTTCGGGGTGCAGTTCCACCAGTACGCTGATGACACCCAGCTGTACATCTCCACCCCAGACCACCCCAATGATGCCCTTGAAGTGATGTCTCGGTGCCTGGAGGCCGTACGGATCTGGATGGGGAGGAACAGGCTCAGGCTCAACCCATCCAAGACCGAGTGGCTGTGGTTTCCGACGTCCCGATATAGTCAGCTGGTGCCATCGCTGACTACTGGGGGCGAATCATTGGCCCCCACGGAAAGGGCTCGCAACTTGGGCGTCCTCCTGGATTCACGGCTGTCTTTAGAAGAGCACCTGACGGCCGTGACCGGGAGGATTTTTCATCAGGTTCACCTGATCCGCCAGTTGCGTCCCTTTCTAGATCGGGACTCCTTACGCACGGTCACTCATGCCCTCGTCACCTCCCGTCTGGACTATTGTAACGCTCTCTACATGGGGCTCCCCTTGAGGAGCACCCGGAGGCTCCAACTGGCGCAGAGTGCGGCCGCGCGGGTGGTAATGGGAGCAACGTGGAGTTCCCATGTAACATCTCTCCTGCACGAGCTGCACTGGCTCCCAGTGGTCTTCCAAGTGCGCTTCAAGGTTTTGGTTACCACCTTTAGAGCGCTCCATGGCTTAGGACCTGGTTATTTACGGGACCGCCTGCTACCACCAATAGCCTCCCACCGACCAGTTCGCT